AAGTTGAATTAGACGTCAGTCGTGCACACATAGAAGTATGTGTTTTTGACACAGATACATAGATTTTTGGTACGCGCAGGCTCTCGACAACCAAAAAGTATGCATACACATAGATTTATGTAGGAATCCTTGATTCAAAAATTCATTAGTCACGAGCAGGGGGAGCATCTGACACAGCCAGTTCTCAAGTGTCACTGACGTGTCACCAAGCCAAGAGCCCAAAATGGTGCACCAAAACAAATCTAAAGTGTCACAAAATCATCAAGCGTGCCAAAACAAATCTAAAGTGTCACCAGGAATGCCAAAGTGGTGCGCCAAAACAAATCTAAAGTGTCAAGATTTAGGTCAAAAAGATAGCTGTAGCAGCATCAAATGGACATTGATGATGCTTGCTGACAAAAAAAGGAACATCGATGCAACATCAACGCAACGCGCTCGTCAAGGACCACGACGCACTCAAGGACCACAACCATCATGTCTCTAGAATTCATCATCCTTTGTGTAGCTCTCCACAATGAGCTGGATAAAGAGCTGTCTCCAGAGGAGAGGCATAGAAGGGATAGGAGAAACCCAAGGATTTCAGTCTCCTTTCCTCCACTTGTATAGTTCCGGCAATGAGCAGGCCCTCCTGAACTGTTGTGGTGTGGATCACGCTGTCTTCAGAGGTCACATGGAATTCTTTGCACCAGTATTCAACATGTACATGATTGATGAGGCAACAGGGAAGATTAGGATGAGAAGCTTCCACAGGAATGGAATGCCAAAGGGCCGGCATAGGGAAGCAAATGCAACGTGCTGTCTTGGGTTAACACTGCACTGGTTCAAGACTCAGGGATCAGTTGCAAGAGGGCTGTCCCTGGCGTTTGGTCTTACATCCACAGTGCTGTACAAGTGGATCAAGTTCTCCAGATGTGTTCTCCTCTATGTATTGCAAGCCCATCCGGATGCAAGGGTCAGGGCTCCTGCCAGAGAGGATGTTGATGCTTATATTGAGGCTATTGGAGAAAAATACCCACTCCTTCAACAACGAAGAGTATGGGGCGCTGCTGATGGTCTCAAGCTTGGACTGCAGACCTCAGGGAACTGGTCAGTACAGAACATGTACTGCAATGGATGGACATCCGATACGTACGTCAACAGCCTCTTTGTCTTTGCCCCTGATGGCAAAATTAGAGCAACAACATTCAACTGTCCTGGGTCTTGGCATGATAGCACCATGTCAGAGTATGGAGTCTACAGGAAGATGAAGGAATTGTACCACTTGTACGGAGCAAGAGTTGTGGTTGATTCAGCATTCCAACTGTCCGACAGGCCATACCTTGAAGGAGCTCCCAACAGGATCCAGACCTCCAGGAGGCAGCAGACACAAGAGCTGCCAGAGCTGCTATATCCCTTAATCATGAGGCTACTTCATTGAGACAGCTTGCTGAGTGGGGCATGAGGATGATCCAGGGACAGTTCCCGAGGCTGAAGGATAGAATCAGGTTTGAGGACCAAGGTGAAAGGAAGATTCTCYTGAACACAGCAATCTTGCTGTATAATTATCAGGCCAGCACTGTTGGCATCAATGAGATCCTTAATGTGTTCATGCCAGATGAGGTGAACAAAAGGGGCTTCTTTGCCCATACTGTGACAATCAATGAGGATGCAAACAACTTGTTTTGGTGAGATAGTCGTCGTCGTKGTGAGATGTCGTGATAGCTGCAACACCGATACGATAGCCGCAACTACGAGATAGCCACAACAACGATACATCGATACATCCCAGCAAGAAGAACATAAGCAACACAGCAAGAACACATGCAACACCGATACGCAAGAACACTGACACCAAGCAACAACAATWCATCGATACATACMGACAAGCAGCAACAACAAGAATACATCGATACATACTACCGACAAGAACGCAACACCGACAACGCAGAAGATTCCCATGGTCAACACCCAACAAGAACGTACCATTTTAAACCAATATACTAGCAGCACAAGCAAGGAGCAGGAGGTGTAAACTAATTCATACAATGAGCGCTTCATGGTGGAGGAGAAAAGAGCAAAGCTACGCGTTACACCATGTTAAGTTGGATTTAGTACATGATATTTCGTGTTATTTGAAATTTTGTGGTCCGTTGAAGCGTTGAATCACAAAGATTCCCTTATAACAAGGCGGAAATAGAATCAATAAGAAATATACATACTATTGAATATAATGAATAAAAGCAATGCATGTTGGATATCCCATAACGAGGCGGGAATAGAATCAATAAGAAATATAGATATTGGATATAATGAATAAAAGCAATGCATGTTGGAGTATCCTTAGGTGTCCGTTGACTCTTGGGCGTCCATTGACTTTGAAAATTTTCAAAATATACTGAAGACTGTGTAGAAACAGTACTGAACAACACGAGCTAGCGCGTAGGAGTGAAGTTATTCTAATCCTCTTGTTTTTCCATAACACAGCAGTCAGTGTAAACCGAATCGAAGATGTGAATTAGTAATGAACAAGATTAGATAAATTAAATGTAGTAAATAATTATAAACTCGACAATCGACAATGGGACAATGCGCTGGTGCTAATCGGAATCGGAATCATCGCTGTTGTCGTTGCTTCTGAAGCAACTATTCCTCTTCCTCTTCCGACCAGCCTTTGGACTGAAGTGCTGCATGGCAATGGTGACAAGGGATCCAAGAGCACTTCCAATTGCCTGGTAGGTTTCCTGCCTTTCTTCCCTGGCTCTCAAAGAAGCTCTCTCGCGCTGTTCAACACAGGCCTCCAATGCCTTAATGATGCCTTGCTGCTTTGAATTGGCAGTGTTGTAAGAACGGATACGAGGGGCTCTTGCTCTTCCAGGTGTAACAGCTCTTGCTGTTGCAAGAACTGGAACTGCCAAGGTTGGCTCTTCCTGCTGAGTAAGTTGTGAATCTTCTGTTTCTTGCGAGGAAGCTTGTTGGAGTACAAGCTGCGGAGGAAGGGCGGGCGCGTCGTTGTTGTTGCCATTGTTCCTGTCACGACTATCGTTGCCGCTGTTGTTGCTGCTGTTGCTGTTTTCAGCAGCTGGTGGAGCCCGATGATTTCCTTCAGGATCACCATTCCTTCCGTCAGGATGTACATATCCTTCTTCAATATCAAAGTGCTCCTCTCCATCTCCAATGTCAGCCTTCTCTCCAATCAAGCACTTGGCCCTCTTGGCCAGTTTCACTGCTAAAGGACAGTTAGGATCTCCAGTAGGGATGTTCTTCCTATGAAGGGATGCAAACTTCCTACAGATGGAGTGGACATCCCTATTGGTATCAGGATACTAGTTGTCAGCATGAGTTGCTTCCACTTCATTCCACTGGTCGCTCCCAGTAGGAAGCCTTGCCAAGATCACATACATCAAGTTAATGGTTTCCTGAGTGGAATAGTTGGTTGTTCCTGACCTATGACCTCCTCCTGGTGCTGCTGGAGGAGCTTGCTGCTGCTGTCCCTGCTGTCTTGTTAAAACCATCTTGGTGCGGAATCGATGCTGCTTCTTCTTGCTTGTCGTGGAATCGAAATTGTTTTTTTTTGTGTCAGAATCAACGCTGGAATCAACACATCAAAACTACACGTGATTTGCTACATTCCAACCAGTTGCTCCCCCGGGGAAGGGGGGGGGGGGTTCTCAGGGTTCTCAATTTTCTTAATTCCTGTTGACATGGCTCCAGCATCAGGCTTCTTCCTTGTCTCCTTGGTCCTTTTAGTGAGGATGCTAGCTAGTTAACAAGAATTCCGACCAACACTTCAGATTTTGTATAGTGAGCGTTTGGATTTGTTTTGACGGGCTCCCCCGGCTCTTGCTGACACTTTAGATTTGTTTTGGCGCGCTTGCTGGCACCATGTGTTCTCAATATTTGCCGAGAATGCAGCTATTTTCTGTTAATTTCAAGCAGAATTCCCTATTCCAAATGAAGCACATTTAGAAAGACATACTAGTCTATGATACTCAAATCTATGTAGTTACATTTTTATTCCCGTAAAGTCATAGACTCGATTTATGTCAGCATAGATTCTAGTATGTTTACGGGAATCACCCATTGGGTGCCTAGTATTCCGGCAACGACCCAATAATGTATGGTAGGTGGAATACTCTAACAAGAAAGTACACATTGTCCAGTACGTGCACTGAAGAGAGGCGATTATTTTAAGTGGAGAGCAACGTATTGTACCGTACTACGGATGATATGAATTTCGACTCGTTACGCTCCCCTCCTAATTATTGTGAGCCTAAATCACGAGTAGATAGTGAATAAGCTCACTCTTTATTGTAAACAACGTATTCACGTACACTAAGGAGCCTATTAGTATTCCACAGGTTATGAGACCAAGGAGCCTATTAGTATTCCACAATTATCACCCCTGGCACGGAAACGAATGAGCATTTCCCGAACCTCTTCTGATACCTGGGAGAACACAAGTTGAATAACTGAAAAAAAAAATACAATTTTAGTTCCCCATGGGTCCCGTGGAACTTTCCATCATTCCGTTTGCTTAAATATATAAAGAAAATGTTCCGGAGACCTCAGGATTTTCAATGTTGTTTAAGATAAGGGCTATACTTTGGTGGCTTTAAATTCTAACCCCTGGAATTTGGTCTCAACCTTTACTTATACACTTTCAGCTGGAGGCCCCTCAAAACTATCCTTGGAAACCCTATGTTCTCTATTTTATAGATTATTGATTTTTATCAATTATTCTCTGTACGTACTTCATTAAATGTTCGTGCCAAGAAAATTAAATAATTAAAATTCGTAGCTCAGTAGTTGTTCGAAATTGCTACGAACAGTGAAGTGAATTCTATTCTGATATCCATAAGTAAGGAACTTCTACCGGTACTTGACACGTATAATAATGTCCCAATATCAAATACTAATATCTGTCGTGACAAAAGTAAATTCTATTCGATGACTGTAACAATGACGACGCCTTCATTACTCGTAACCGTGCCCCACTGCTACTAATATTCTCGTAAATGCTTGACGTCCTTGGTGTCTGTCTGAAAGGAATTAAGGCATTACCGAGTCACATGCATGAGAAAAACTCGGAGTGCAATTATTTGCAAATGGAAGAAATATGGCAATGGCAACAACGTTTAATAGCGTGGAACAACGAGTGAATGACTTGCTAGCACCTCCTGTCTTCAACGAAGACGATACTATATCCAAAGAGCTCCTGAAGTTGTCGTTGAAAGAACGCAATGCGCTGGAAGAAGAAATACACGGCGTGCGTTCTTTGAATCCGGATGAAACGCCTCATCTTGTCGATAGGAGCTTACGAGATTTTGATCAAAAATTGCTGTTAGTCGCAGAAGAAAGACAGCGAACTAGAGAAAAGAAGATTCTGACTTTACACGGATTTGATAATAGCGAATGTTTTAAAAGCAACGACGTCCTCAGGAACGTGAGAAGAATCTATCAAAATTGCAACGGTCAGAAATCAAAAATAACAATTCCTCCTTTGTGTGATTGCTATGTGAACGATCCGGCGATTCGATTGGTTTTTTTGCGAGGCGAACTTTTTGATGTGGAAAAAGCCGTTCGACGATTTATAAATTTTCTGGAACTCACCTCGGAGCTGTTTGGTGATTTCGTGGCCCATCGCGAGATTCGGATTACCGATTTCAGAACCCCAGAAGAACGAACAGCCCTTCGGAACTCAAGGCAGCAAATGCTACCGTTTCGGGATCGGAGCGGACGTCAAGTCTTTGTTTGCATCGGAGATTGTGGAACTGGACTTCCCGCAAAATTGAGATTCAAGATAAGGATGATGTTGTTTTGGACCACTACGAAAGATATCCAAACACAACGCAAGGGTCTTGTCTTCATTTGCTGGCCTTCGTCTGAAATTTTATCAAAACTCAGCAAGAGCGATCTACTGTACCGTCAAAAATTTATGGACGCCAGACCGGTGCGCTTCGTTAGTTGGCACATTTGTTGTCAAGATACCCCAATGTGCAGGGCTATAGGAACTCTATGGGTTGTTTCCTCGAGGCCCGACGTTCGAGTTTGCACAAAAGTTCATATTGGTGAGTCTACAGGAGAATGAATTACTCGATCCCTTGTTTCGAAGCTAAATTCAAATAATAGAACCATAATCAGTATGGATCTAACAAATTTGTCGCATTTGTTGGTGGGGACCTATCTCTCGGATAACATGACATTGAATTTATTCCTATTATTCTCTATTGAAAGGTGGACTGATCGAAACGCAATACATGTTGCATGGATTTGGGATTCCTTTGGACATAATACCCCTTTCGCATACTGGCACAATAAAAACAGCGAATCATATTCAATGGATCAACGCTTTGCATTATAAGTTACAAGAAGCAGAGGGAGGGGAGGAGATTGTCATTTGTCCAGGCTTTCACGACGTTCTCTCGCGGAAGGGCCAACGTTACGCGAGCCACCCGGGGAACATGAAATTTCGCGAACTAGTACAATCCATGTCTGACCTACACGAGAGGGTACCTCGAACACAAAAATTCCAGGTCACACAGAGCGTTTTGTTTAAAGTCGAGATACTGGGTGGAAGATTCTTGGAATGGAAGTCGCCGAGCAATGTATGGATCGTCACCAAGGACCGCAAGTCAATACATGCTAAGATAGCTTTCGCGTTTCGGGAGATCAAGAGAAGAAAGCGACTTGCTGCCCAAAAAACTAGAACCAGCAATGGTAATTTCAACGATGATTCTCCGGATCTAAATCGAGAGGAGGTCGCTGGTTCTGCTGTAGATTATTCAATGCAGGGATACCAAGATCAGAAATGTTTTCTATTTTGTAGGGAGTCGGCTGTGCACTCTAATAACTAAACAGGGCAATCCGACTGAGTATTTACAACAGAACAAAAAGAAACGCGGTAATGTGTGGATTTCATAGTTACTGGTACCTTATGACGTTCTTGTAGTGTTACAATGTATAGCATTATCTGTTATCATCATTACTCCAAAAGGTTGGGAATTTGTTCTGTAGTGCCAGTAAGGTGGAAAGTGCTGCTCTGAAAAGAATGTAGAAGCTAATCAGTGAAAGCACCGTTGCTGTTTGTTGTTTCTGAAATAGGATGGAGGAATTCATTGATTTGTTGTGTATGTTGAGTATTGGTGGTGGTCGTGTTTTTTGTAAGGAGGAAAGATGTTCTTACAAAAAKGCAACAACAACAACTACTAGAAGTTCTAACACAAACAAGCAACTCTTAAAGAAAGCACAACAACACCAACATAAGAAATCCAATTGCTTGTGTAAGACCAAGTTGAAACCAACACATTTTCAAAAGATCTTCCCTATGTTATAAGTTCAACAAGAAATATGTTGGTTTTCCCCTCCAAAGATATATAGATAGTAATCTTTTGACAAGAAGGAGTCTCATCCTCCTCCCACTGGGTTGAGTTGAATTAATCAATTCTTTTGATTTTCGAGTACTACGACCACCACCACCAGTCCCTGATAGAAAACAGATTAACTGCTATTTATTGTTCATGGTTGCCTTGAGATCTTGCATGCAGTACTTGTTGCAGAAATTACTAGTCTTCCCTTGGAGTCCCTCCTTTTAAAATCAATCAGATGAATGCACATTTTTTGTTTCAAAAAAAGCAGCAAGAATCTAAATATGAATTTTCTTGTTCCCTATCATTTTGAAAACTCAACTTTGCAAAGTAGTAAAAAAAGAAATCTTAAAGTCATGATTTCCATCATGAACTAGAAGAGGCACTATGTTGGCCAGAACCAGAGCTTCTTAAAGGAACCTCCCTCCAAGGGGATGTGATGGAGGCACAACCATTGAGGTGGATGGGGTGGTTGGTTGATTACTTCATAGTTGAAATATGAAATATTGTGTCAAAGTGGTTTGGTGGGTTCAATTGTTCTTAGTAGCAGGGGCTAGAGAAGGCTCTGGCAAACTGGGGAGTTTGTGTCATCTCTTCTTGGAGTAGTATGCAACTTTGCATTGGCTTGGTGGAAGTTTCTCTATATTGCTATCTACTGCTTTGATAGGATTGTCCTTCTTGTCACAAAGTTTTGCAATGACATCCTACCAATTGGCTATGCTCCTACAGTTTGATTTTGGACTGACCGATCAGTACTAAGGGCAATAACTCATTTGTGTACTACTAATAATTGTCCCATTTTCTTGTGGCTAAATGTTGCTGTAGAGGCTGTCAATGTTGGTGTTGGCATTGCTATGCTCTGTGTTGTTGCTCCCCAACTTCTTGGAGAGTAACTGCTGGCAATATTTCTTGTAGGACTCAAACTTTTCCAACAAGGCAACAGTTGGTGCATCATGCCTGTCATAACCATAGCCAACAAAGCTTTTCATAGTAATTATTACTCTTGTGTTGTTTTAATTCTGGACTGACTGATCACAATAATGACTGAACTTTTTGAGTCTTGGGAGGTGTTCTCCTACATTTTGGAATGACCAATCACAAATATGACTGATTTCTATGAGTCTTGGGAGCAATTTAGTTCTCCTCTTAAATCTTAGAATGACCAATCACAAATAGTACTGATTTTTTAGTCTTCTTGGGATCAATTTGGTTCTCTTCAATATTGGAATGACTGAATGTCATGATAATGACCAACTGTTTTAGTTAAAAATAGTAAATAATCTGTTTTTTGCAAAGGTACTAAATTATTTGTTATTTGGGGTACTGAAACCTACATGGAATCTACACATAAAACAGTCTTTTTGGGTTTCTACTGGAAGTCAAGAGCAGTGTGAATGCTTGAAGGTTAATGGCTACTGTGCACTATAGCCAATTTTGTCCTTTATTGGCTATGGTGCACTGGACTACCACTATCTTCTTTTGTGCACAGTAGCCAGTGACCTTGAAGAATTCTCACTAGTACCCCCTGGACTTTGTGGGGAAACAAAAAGAAACTTTGTTTTTAGTGTAGAATCCATGTAAAACTCAGTATCCCATTTTTTGCAAATAAATTAGTACCTTGACAAAAAACAGATTATTCATTTTTTACTTGAACATTCAGTCATTATCATGATGTTCAGTCATTCCAGTATTTGAGCCAAATTACACCCAAGACTAAAAAAAAATCAGTCATATTTGCGATTGGTCATTCCAAGATTTTAAGAGAACCAAATTGATCCCTGCACTCCCAAGACTAAAAAATCAGTCATTTTTGTGATCGGTCATTCCAACATTGAAGAGAACCAAATTGCTCCCAAGACTCAAAGAAATAAGTCAAATTTGTGATTGGTCATTTCAAAATGTAAGAGAACAACATAAATCCCCCAAAACTCAGAAATTCAGTAATTATTGTGATCAGCCATTCACATATTGTAGTACTATGAGGTACAGAATGATAGGAATTTGATGCAATGGGTCATTCCTGTTATTCTAAATACTCCAAAGTGCTAAATGTAGGGATCTAGGGTTTTTAGATTAATAGGAATCAAAATTTTAATGGACAGACTGAGAGGAAGGCTGCCTTAATTGCAGTCTTTTTAGGAATTCGGAATATTGTTAACTAGTACTACTACTAGTGGTACTAGCATACTAGTACTCCAGTGTGATGACTAAAAAGAGGCACACAAAGGAACACAGTGTTGAGTCTTTCAACGGACTGGAAAAAATATTATTCATGGGTTCCACTCTAAAAGTAGTAGTAGAGTATTTGACTGGTTCAAAAAATGCTAAGGTGGTCAGCCTATCAAATTGGGTGATTCCCATTATTATAGAATGATAAATTTGTTTTTTTAGCAATTTATAATATTGGGAATCAAAATTTTAAGGGAGAGACATCAAGGAAGAAAGGTTTCATCTCAGTCATTTTGAGGAGAATCTGGTGGAATCTTAAATGGTTTGCAATGACTAAAGAGGTCTGGGTAGGTACTGCTGGTACGTAGGGTTTTCTGTTGAATCTTATGTACAAAATTTTGATTCTTGGGTTCCATCATAGATTTAGCACATTTAGAATGGGGTCAGTTGACCCATTCTAAAATGCTACATCGTCTATAACATGACAACATGTCATAGATTTTTGGTCTGTCTGTCTATCAAATTTAGCATTTATAATAATGGTAATCACCCATTTAGAGATTTTAGAATAACGGGATTCACCCAATGGGTGATTCCTGTTATTCTAAAACTCTAAAGTGCTCAATGTAGGGATCTAGAATAATGGGAATCAAAACTTAACGGACAGACTGGTGAGAGGAAGGCCGCCTTGATTTCAGTCATATTACTAGTAATTTAGAATCTTCTTAACTACTAGTATACTCCAACCTAATGACTAAAAAGAGGCACCACATGATGGAAAATTTTATTCAAGTTTCATTCGTGGATTCCACTCTAAATGTAGTATTTAGGATGGGTCAATTTGACCCGTTCTAAATATGCTAAATCTAGAGTCATTTTCGCTAAATTTTCGGTCTGTCAGTCTATCAAATCTAGAGTTTTTAGAATAACGGGAATCACCCAATATTATCACCCAATAAACAACATACCGGTACTGGAGCTGAAGAAAAGGACAATCGTAACAGATTCGAACCTGTTACTGAGAGAAAAACAAATAGCAAGAATAGAAAGACTTCACTTTTCTTCGAGAAGTTACGACAGTGTGTCATTGATTACCAAAATTTAAAAAGTCCATCTCAAAGCTATTAAATCCTCCTGAGAGGCACACTTACTGTTAGTACAGTATCACTAAACAATAAATCAAGCAAATAAAGAAAATGCCGAAACACCAACGCGACAATCGGAAAAGCCGCCGATCGGCGCCCTACGAGAGCGGAGAAGTTGAGGAAGGTGAGGAGCGAGAAAGAAATCGAAGCAGCAGAAACCGGTCGTCTGGAAACCGCCGATCAAAGAGTGCGTCGTCGTCCATCCACACACCGTGCGCAACATTTGACGACATGAACCTCAAACCGGATCTGCTGAAAGGCGTGTATGCGTACGGATTTGAAAAGCCATCTGCCATTCAGCAGCGGGCCATCAAGCCCATTGTGCTGGGACGTGACGTGATTGCCCAGTCGCAGTCGGGAACAGGGAAGACAGCTGTCTTTTCGATCGCCTCGCTTCAGCTTTTGGACGAGACCTCTCGGGACGTTCAGGTGATGGTTCTGAGTCCAACGCGGGAGCTTGCCGAGCAGAGCCAGCGTGTGATGCAATCTCTAGGAGACTTTATGAATGTACGTATCCTTTGCAAAATGGCAAACAAGAATACTACGCTTGGCTTGACTGGTTTGGAACCTCTTACGTGTCGATATAAAAATCGAGTCACGTCGACAACGTTGCGATGTAGTGCAGCATCGTCTCGCTTTAGTTTCGTTGACGTTCTTTTACCGATAGGATGGAAGACAAGCCACAAATTTTCAACTCTTTGCGTACTGAAGTACGACGATCCGTCTCACCTATTTCTTAATAACTTCATGATGGTTTTTTTCAACAAGGTCAATTGCCACGCCTGCATCGGAGGGAAATCACTGGGAAATGATCTAAAAGAACTGGAACGGGGCGGGGTCCAGGTCGTTTCTGGGACACCAGGCCGGGTCTACGATTTGATTAAACGCAATGCCTTGCACATGTCACGCCTCAAGGCCATGGTCCTGGACGAGGCCGATGAGATGCTCTCGAGGGGCTTCAAGGAACAAATCTACGACATTTACCGGTTTCTGCCGCCATCCTGCCAGGTCGTGTTGATGAGTGCAACCCTTCCTTCAACCGTACTGGAGATGACCCGCAAATTCATGAACGATCCGATCAAGATCCTCGTCAAGCGTGACGAGCTCACTCTAGAGGGGATCCAGCAGTTCTTTGTCGCCGTCGAAAAGGAAGAATGGAAGTTCGACACACTGTGTGATCTCTACGACACCATGACGGTCACCCAGTCCGTCATTTTTTGCAACACGCGTCAAAAGGTTGATTGGCTTGCGGAAAAGATGAGAGAGTCCAACTTTACTGTTAGCGCCATACACGGGGACATGGACCAGACCGAGCGGGACGCCGTCATGAACGAGTTCCGATCGGGGTCATCCCGTGTCCTGATTGCGACCGATCTATGGGGACGGGGAATCGACGTCCAGCAGGTTTCCCTGGTGATTTGTTATGACCTTCCAACAAACCGGGAACTGTACATCCATCGAATCGGTCGGTCGGGTCGTTTCGGCCGAAAGGGTATCGCCATCAATTTTGTGAAGGAGGACGACGTCCGGACCCTCAAGGACATTGAGCAATTCTACAGCACGCAGATTGATGAAATGCCGGCAAACGTTGGCGATCTTTTGTAGTACGAAAAAAAATGTGTTTCGAAGAACGAGCTGATAATAATGTTGTACAATGTGGTGTATGCATGATCTAGTCAATGCCCAAGACACTAGGGGCACCACTGAGCATCGACTGAGAAATTAAGAATTATTGGTGATGACAGAATGGACGAACGCACTATTCCTATGACGAAAACAGCTGGTTTGGGCCTTTCGTCGTCTCAGCAATCCAAACACCAGAACAACAATTTCCGTCGCGATAGATCAATAGCAGACCCTCACGAACTGTCATCATTGCAGCTCTTGATGATTCTGTTCCTATGATTTTTTGATTTCTTGTCTTCTGAAACAAATTAGCTGTGCGTCAAAGAGCAAGTTGCTTTCACCGAATAGAATATCTAGCCTGCTACTAGTGATTAACATTGGTGTTCCGACCACCAGTAAGTCCTATAACTCATGAATCAGTAGGTCAGAAGGCATAGCCTTCAGGAACGTGGAGAGGAGCACAGTATTGGTGGTAGCAATAATGATGGTAAAGCAAGAGCAACAAGGAGCGACGAGGCACCATCACCACCATTTATTACGGCATGTGTTAGCAACTAACGTTGAGTTGTATTAGTAGTATTAGTAGTTTCAAATAATGTAAGCCCATATTTTCTTTTTGTTTATTGCCATACCTCTACTACCTCAATAAGCTACACAAGCTTGTTTTTTTTAACAAAGTATTTGTGTTCGTGAGGAGAAAAAACTGCTCGTACTGTACTGTAATTGATTTTAGGGAGCGTTTTTGCCCCCCTTTCACTTCAATGTCGCTCAACGAGAACCGCACTAAGCGGCTTTCAACGCACACGCAAAGCACGAAATTCCAAATGATGCCAACAACGAAACATCCCGACTGTTTTTTCTTCGTTCAAATTAAGACGCTTTGAAGTTTCTTTCCGAGACTCTTGTCGTCTTTCTGGATGAACACACGTAACCAGCCTGTTTCCAAACTACGATAATTGTACTGTACTCACAATAGCCTTCACTTAAAGCTTGTAATCGAAGGAGCAGTCAGAGCCTTCCCATTACCATGCACGGATTTCTAATTTGAAAAAGGAGTGCAGGGAAGCAATCAATCAAGAACGTATTGGAGACAGCAACAAGAAGGGGAAATAGAGCGGATCGGCTGCAAATCTATCGGATTATCATTGCATTCCATGAAGCTGTTACAACCATGGACAAGTCACTCCCGTATTATTCGTCCCCACCAACGGCATCGATGTCACAAGCTAGACAGCAGCTGCAGCAACAGCAGCAGCAGCCAGCTCATATCTACAGCTCGATGAATCAAGCGCAGATGAAGAACTCTCGTCAACAACAGCACCATAACCAGCATTTGCAGTTGGCGGAAAAGTTGGCTTCTTTCTATCTCCAACAGAATCATCTGCTCCAATGGCAGAATGTTCAACATCATTCCAGCATACACCAGAAATCGGTTTCTTCCCATTCGCTCACGCCGACAAATTTTAACCAATCGAATCACAATTATTATTTCTCTTCTTATCCGTTCCAGTCTCAGCCTCCGATCCAAATTCAAAGAGGTCTTAGACAGAACACTTGTGTGGTACCGGTCGGATCAATGGGGAAATCAGTGGGCGCCACCGAAACAAAAACTTGCCAAAACAGAACGCTGCTATCGGCGAGAGGATTGAAACTCATCACCGCAAAACTAGAGAGGCGATCCCTCGACAAACCGTGGGGCCTTGGTTTTGTTTCCACAAAGGGAACCCAGAAGTTTGGATTGAGCTCATCGCCCGATGTGCGCGTGCTAGTGGTCAAGTCTCCCTCATCAAACAAACACAAAAACGAGACTTATGCGAACGTCAAAACATCCTGGGCTCGGTCGATTGTTGCCGGAAAACTGTCTTTCCTGCGGAACCATAGTTCGAAAATTAACAAGAACGATTGCGCTATCGATCCCAACAATTATCTCGCCGAGATAATGCGGGCCATGGCGGATCCTTCTCTTTCTTCGCTTGAAACGGGGAGTGGGAAGGGGATATTTCCAGGGGACATGATACTCGCCATCGACGGGAGGCCTCTATCGTCCCCCGTGCTAGGTAGCAACGTTCAGAACAAGAATGCATTTAATGGCCCAAATATCACCTCTGAAATTGCCTCATATTTAAGACAGGTCAGCTTCTGTTCGCTAATGGTGCTTAGGCACACCGATGTGGTCTACGCCTCGGCCTGTGTCGAGAAACAAAAATCACAGCACGATCCCCTCTGGGTATCTTCTGTCGCAAATATGGCCTGGGACAAGCTACTGTTATTCCCTGGATCAACGATGTTGCGAGGGGCGCCACTTACGAAAAATACTGTCAAACGGAAACCCTGGATTGCAAGTGAGGTCGTGCATCGAAATCCATGGTTCCGCGATGAGAATAAAACTGGGACTACGACCAGTAATATTCCCTACAGCGACAACACGTCGAGTCTCGATTACTGGCTATACCTGCAAGAAGACGGGAGCCGAGCGGGTATGTTTCTGCCTCCCTTGTTTGCGTCTCCTTCTGCCGATTGCGAACAGCATTCAGGGATTCCGGCTACGTTCCACGATTGGCTTTCACGGCGAAAGTTGTCTTGGAGAAATCGGTACAATGTCTACCAGCATGCTCCTAGCTGCGAAAAGAAAGAGCGAAAGCCACAGCCAGGGAGAAAACAACATTTAAAGCCACAAGGCACGGATGACGAGGACCACGCAAGCTCAGCCGACCACCATGCTTCGGGGGTAGCCGTCGACTTTTGGACCCAGCAGGGGCTTTCCTCGTTTCAGGAATGGTTGCGGAAAAGGTCAACCCAGTGGCATCGGTCCTATAGCTGGAACAGACGCAAGCGACAGAAGATCGAACAGGAGTGTTTCGAAAAAGTCGTCCACCTGCCCTTCTACCGTCCTCAGTCTACAAACGCTTCTAATTGCAAGTCTAAGTGTAATCCGAACTCAGACTGTGGAAGCGATGTGAATTCGAACAACAGCACCGCATCCGGTACCTGTTCAGCCAAAGAGTTCGAAGAATGGTTGAAGGTCCGTCGGTATCAGTGGAGAATGTCGCGACGGAAGCGGAGGCGAGAAAGGAGGTCCCAAAGGGAAGGGCAGCAACACAACGAGACCACAATAGATGCCAGTGTAGAGGGACTACGTGCACAGTCGGAATCGTTTCCAGTTGACAACGCAGGTTCTCCAAAAGCAACCCCATCGTCCATCATCGACGAAGAAACCAGCAACAAGGGTATTGTCAAGTCAATACCTGCAAAGCGAAAACTGCAGTTCTTGTCGAAAGAAAACCAAGAAATCGCCTTCATTGACGATATTTTGGAGGAGAGGGAAAAGGAAAAAGAAGAAATCAAGCGCCAGCGAGACAAACGCCCCCCGATTGATATTGCACGTTTTTTCGATGCCTCCCAGGGCATTCCCGACGATATTGTTGTGCACTGCTTGGAATACCTTGATTCCAAGGAACATCGAAAGCTATTTGCCATCACCAAGGGGATCTCGAAATCGCTCCGCGATCGGCCGGAGATTTGGCGGCAGTTGTGCCCAAACCACTGGGTGCTCCCCCGGCGTCCGAGGAAACCTTGGCACGAGCTATATTTTACGAGGCTGCGAAAGGAGCGCGAGCAGCACCAAAAACGATGGGACGATCTTCTCGTCAAGTGCTCGGCGGCCCTTTTCAAGAGAGACGATCTCCAAAAGATCGAGAAAATTGTCGAAAAGGCGGAAAAGGATTTCGGCTTTGACCTCAATTACGCCAGCGGGGTCGTCTGCGAGCGGAATTCTATCCTAAACCTCGCAGTAATTCACGGGAGGCACAAGGTTGTGCGGTGGCTGGTCGATGTCAAGGGGGCGGACATCGAGACTTCCGACCGGGGGAATTTCACGCCCCTCCTGAACGCCGCCTGGTCCGGGGATCGCTGGCTGGTCCGGTTCCTGCTGCAGAGACAGAGCGACCGGAACGTCCTGGGGACCCAGCACTACACCCAGGGCATCGCCCCAATCGGCTTTCGTGGCAGGACCGCGGACGAATGGGCCGACAAGCGGGGGCATCCCGAGGTGGCAAAACTAATCCGGCTGGGGCTGTAACAGCATGGCACGGCGAGGCAGTTGTTTGGATCTGCAGGTTGACAAGAGAAGATGATTTACTCCTACATTGCTAAAATTACTCCAATGGAAACATAATGTACAACTAGAAATACCAGCGTTCACCTGTTTATCATCACCACAGCCGTCATCATTGATACTCATCCTGGTTGAGGTTAAAAGCATCATCTTTTGCTTTCTCCAGGAGACATTGGACGGTTCTTTTTTCTATTCATTTTTCCAACAGTAGTTTGCACTGTTTTTCTTCCACCATCAGGTAAACCGCGGTGGGTTAGATGGCTTGGAGGAACCATTTTGTGGAAAGGCTCTAGGATCAAACCTTGCACACTCAAAATTTTTCTCCTTGACTATCTAATGGTTGATCTTGGTGCAACMGTGTACTAGTGACATCATCTACTGTTTCAAGTCCACCAAACAGCACGTCAGTGATTGCGCTGGACCTGGTGGTCGGCAAACACTCAATTATTCTACCTATGACACAGGGTCATTTCTGGGAACACAGTCTTTCCGGCTGGAGTTACCGAGACATCCACAGGTTCTAGTACTAGCACAGTGTAGTGTGGCACTCATTTCTCGCAAAGGTTTTGGTACACCACAGAATACCTTTAAGGGGGAAGCCATTCCATGAAACGTCCATTGCCGGAAGACACCGAATGATTCAAGAGTAATGTATTCTTTGGCTCATCCTTGGCATCTGTGTGTGACACAAGCAATACTAGTACTATTAATTTTAAGTGCGCACCTTGCCTCACTCGAGTACGACTATGCCTACCAGTGGGGGGATGGGGGTGGGGCGATGCCTCGTGGTTGGAGCTACCATCGTGGTAGCAGTACTAGAGCTTCGTCGAACGAGCATGCAAGAGTGGTTGTGCGAATGCGACAGAACCATTCACGGAATGCGCTTGGAGCATCGACCATGGGAACACTCACGCTAGCACAGCACGGAAAACAACAATTTCCCATCGTGGCTCGCATCGTTCCATCCAGCCGTGTCTTCGTCGAATCTTCGGAACGCCGCGGGCGGCTCCCTTTCCCCAGACAAGAGCACGAGAATTACACGCTTGTCCGATCGCAGTGCAGTGCAGTGCAGTGCATGGCATGGCAGGGGAAGGAGGAGAACGCAACGTGCCCGCTCGCACTACTCTGCCGCATAGCAGCACGGCGCATCGAAGACGAGACGGTCCCGCATTGCCGTGCGTTGCCATGCATTGCGTTGCGCTACGCCGGACCGTCGCCTTTCCCTTTTGGATGGGTGCTCGTACTCTTGCTCGTGCTCGTGCTCGTACGGTACGGTACAACACCGGAACCCATGCGGGTTTGCTCGTGGTGGGATCCGCTCCCACGAGCTCCGCTTCGAGTGCTCAGAGAACGAGTTTGTATAGAACGAGTACCGTAGTGTAAGGTACGTATGTACTACCGTACACGCAATACCTTCAGGGGCAAACGCAATCCTCCCGAAGAACCGGGAGTTGGGATCCGACCCGAAAGACACGAGACTAGCTTGACAACACGACGGTTCCGCGTCGTGTTCCGGAGCCGTCGGCTTCTTGTCGTACCTACGGTACCGGTATGGATATCAATTTTGTGTTTTGTGCTCGTGCCGCCAACTCGTGGTTGGCTGCCCCCTCCGCATTGGGTGGTAGAGTACGAATCGTACTGTACGATCACAACCGTGAGTACGGTACCCGTATTCGTTATTCGTTGGGTTGTCGGATCGTTTCGAGATTCATTGGTTCCCGCAACCCGACGGTTCCCGCCTTGCCGCGGTGGAAACGACCGATCGGTCGGTCGTGTGTGCCTCTGCGGAACCCCCCCCCCCCCCGGTGGAGCCTTCTTTCGTCCACGGCCCCACAGAATTGCCCCGGGCCCGTGTTTGTTTCCGGCTATTGTGGGGAACCAAAGGGGACCGGTCCGTCCCACCCGGGGGGCCGCGCAATGGATTCGTTGTTTTGCGCGCCGTGCCTGCCCCCCCCCCCTTTCGCAGCCCGGGGGACACGATCGATTCCGCGCGGAATGGCGCAGAACGGATTGTTCCGCTTCCGTTGCCCGCCCGAAAATTTGGCGGTTTCGGCAACGACGCGCGTGCCGAGGGATTGGTGCCAATTATACTTAGGGAATCCATTGGTATTGCCTTCGAAATTTCGTGAGACGGGGGGATCATTTTTTGGTCGCCTCCGTTGCCTTGGTGGTGGATGGATGCCCTCGACGCATTTTTTTTGTCACACCGCGTCCTCGGAGTCGTACGCACCGATTTCGTAGCCGCACTCGTACGGGTACGAAGGGTGGAACACGAAGGCGCCCCAGGAAGCGCTGCTGTGCTGCTGCCACCACCGCGGTTGCTGGTGCACCGAAACGGCGCAAAAAAGAAGGATTCGCAGCGAATGGAATTGTCACTTTTATGTGCCACCACTCGCTTAGAAGACACCCGACAAAAATTGTTACAAACACGGCCATCGCGGAAACCACGGCAACGGAATACGAAGAGGGCAAGCGAGAGACCCATCGAAGCATTTGGGCAGCCACATATACAACGAACGCCGTTCTAGTCTAGAAACACGACGAGGAGTGAACCAAGGACGCCATTCGTCTCTTCCTCCACATCGCAACCCATCACTCATTGATTGATTGGTTCATTGATTGATTGATTGATTGATTGATTGTTTGCCATGATGGTCGAGCAACCGCTGTTGGTCCCCGATGGTGCGGGGCAAAACGCCGATGCCGATACAACCGGGGCTGCGAGCGCCAACGCCAGCAGCAACAGCAACGGCGGCGGCAGCAGCAGCAGCGCTCCTTCGGCTCCCCTAGACCCCACGGGGGACGGGCCGGGCCCGACCGAACCGGCCGCAGCGGAGGAAGACTCGGGCTTTGTGCCCCCAACCCCCAGCGCGGTCCGCCGCGCTGGCTACCTCCAGTACGCCCGCAACCGGCACCAGCACCTGATAAAGACGGGGGCCGTCCGCAGGCCGTCCTGGAAGACGCAGCCGCAAGCCCAGGGACAAGCCCAGCCACAAGCCCGGCCACAGGCACCCCGGGCCACGAAGCAAGACCCCGAGGCCTCTCCTTCCCCGGTCAAGGCGAAGAAGGACCCCTCCTCCATCGTGGTGCTTCCCGTCAACTACCAGGCGAAGAAAGCAAGCCAAGAAGCAGCGGAGGGAGTGTCGGACGCCCCGGCCCCAACGACGCCGTCGCCGGCCAAGACGAAGGAAAAGCCTTCCTCTGCGGTGGTGGTCCTCCCGGGGAACTACCAGGCGAGAAAGGCAAGGAGGGAGGATCCCTCCGGAAAGGAACCCGTATCCTCGCCAACCTCCGTGGCGGCCCCCCTCCTCGACGACAAGCTCTTTGGCTACAAGGAGGATTCCACGAAAGACGACCCCGAAGACGAACGAGAACGAGAACGTGCAACCAGAAAGGAAGACGGAAACGAAGACCAAACCCACCACCAAGCCGAAGCCCAAGACGTTCACGAACCAAGAACCGGGGCACCCGAAGCAGCAGCTGCAGCAACAATCGATGCAGCCGAAGAACAGGGCCCCTCCTCCCCCAACGACAGCACGGGCGACGCCACCAGCAGCTCTTCCCTCCACCGCATCATGGCGCCGAGGGACGACGAGGACCCCGAAACCCCCCGTCCGGGTGCGGTGGCCGCCGCGAGGGCCGCCATCGTGGCCCGGGCAGCGATCGATCGTCATCCTCCCGCCACCCCAAGGGCCAGGGGGGTCCATCCCCAGGAGCAGGAGCCGCCGAGGGCTCCCTCCAAGCCCGAGAGCACCCGGACCCGGGTCTACCACCGGCCCCACACCAACGAGACGCTGGTGGCGGCCCCAACCGCCTGCGAGGATAATAGCCCCTTCCGCAACGAGGAGGACGACGATGCCGACACCGAAACGATTGGCAACGACACCATCGGCAACGACACCATCGGCAACGATACCATCGATGACGGCAAGAGCGAAGCCTCGGAACACAGCGAGGCCTGGAGGACGAGGCGGATGCTCCAGGACGAGGAACAGGACGACGTCTCGCAGACCTCGATGGGACGCGAGAAGCGGGCCACGAGGCTGGCAAAGCAGCGCCAGCAGCAGCGCAGCAGGAAGCGCCAGCAGGGCTACAGAAAGAACGCCAGGACGTGGGGCAAGCAGGGCTCCAGAAAAAAGAACGATTCTGGCTCGAAACCGAGGTCCAAGTCCAACTCCACCATGGGCCGCGTGGTCAGCGACGCCTTTGACAAGATGCTGGGCTGGGGCGAGCACGACGACGGGGGCTACTCGTCGGGAGAAGAGTCGGAAAACATCATCCACGACCTCCAGGACGCCCTCATGGAAACCTTTGGCTGCTCGGTACCCCGCAGCGCCAAGATGGTCAAGACCCGGGGACGCGGCCGCGACAACGACCACGACGAGGAGGAGGACGACGACGAAACCGTAGAGACCAACAACACGGAGAGGTCCAGCATCATCTCCAAACCGAGGCACATCCGAAACGGTTCCAACATGAGCGGATCGATGCTCTCGGGACTCTCGACCGGTCTCTCCTTCGAGACGACGGAGGAACTGGCGGACTTTACCCGGGAGCAGCAGCAGTTGCAACAAATGCAGCAGCAGCAACCCAAGGACGTGACGGCGAGCGAGAAGAAAAAACCGAGCTACAAGGTTCCGGAGGGCGTCGATCGGGCGGGAAATCCCCCCGCCGTCAGGGAGGACGCGACCTCCTCCGTCACGGACTCGATCATGTCCAGCCTCGAAAAGGTCGGCTACTCGGAAGACCTCCACAAGCGGATCAAAGAGGAACCCGATTTCGAGCCCATCGACCTGCTCAAGGATGGGGACAACCTCTTCGAGGACGTCAACAAGATCGGGTCCAACCTCCTCACCGTGGCCTCCACCAAGGTCGACGAGATGGTCACCTCCCTCCAGGGATTCCTCGGGACGGCACCGACGCCCTCGGACGTCAGCGAGTCGGGAACGAGGACCATCGACACGGGCTTTAACTCCACCATCGACGTGGGCACCATCGACGCGGGCACCATCGACACGGGCATTAGCACGATCCAGACGAACGAGTCGACCGCCCTCGGCGCGCCACTCTCCCACCACCGGAGCCTGACCTACACGCTGAGCAACGCCTCGGAGCCCCTGGAGGTCATCAGGGAGGGGGAGGACACGGAAGCTCCCAGTGCGGAGGCCTCTGCCCCTTCCCAGGAGCCCGCGGAAGAAGTCCCTTCTCCCAAGAAGACCTTCGAGAACCGCTTCGAGATCAACGTCTTCGAGACGATATCGGTGGGCAACGAGGAAATCACCGTGGACACGGCCGCCACGACCTGCGAAGCGGTCCAGAAAGAAGAAACCCCCGATACCGAGCGCAAGCTCATGGACATTGTCCAGGCGGGAAGCGACGTCGACCTCTTCCAGGACATCGAGGAAGAGGACTCCCAGCCCCCCGGGATGGCCGAAAAGCTCCTCGTGCCCGAGGCGGACGACGAGCAGGACTCGCTGGTCCGGCTCCTGGAGGAGTGCAGCACCGTCTCGGGGGAGAAGGAACCGACGGAAAAGTCGCTGCTCCCGCCGGAAGGCGACGAGGAGGATGCCGTCGAGGAGGCCGACGGCCGCGGGGGAGACGAGCCTTGCGCCGCGCCGATCGACTGGTCCTCGACGGCCTTTGCACAGGCCCTGGAAAAGAGGGCCTCCGCAATCCGGGAGCAGGACCGGGGGGAGGCACCCGAAGCAGCAAGCCCCCCGGAACCGTCCGATGCCGAGGATGGCTCGACGGCCGTGGATCGAGCCGGCGAAACCACCTCCACCACGGCGAGCCCCGAAACAGACCCCGAGCCCCTGGCTCTCCCCCAAGAGGCGACGACGGAAGCCCCCGCGGCCACCGAGGCCCCGGCTCCGGCAGAAGAAACGACGGCTGCCGCTACGGTGAAGACCGTGAACAAGTCTGCCCAATCCACGCCGAAAAAGGCCCAGCACAAGCCGGTCGAGAAGAAGAAACCGAAAAAGTTTGGTCTCAAGATCCGCAACCCCTTCAAGAGAGAAAAATCCAAGAAGGGCGTGTCTTCCACCCCGCAAGCACCCAAGGTCACGGTCCGGCCCACCCCGTCTTCCTCCCCGCAGGATTCTCTGGCCGTCACCAAGGCGACAAGGGAGGCACCCGTGGAGAAGGAAGCCGAAACCGAGACGGTGGGATCCTCGCTCGTCGAAAGCTTCGAGAGCGAGGCGCCGATGGACTTTGCCAACTTTGAGGAGATGGACTTTGCCCTCGCGGAGCAGCAACAGCAAGAAGCCCTGCCCGGCATGGCCTTTGGATCGACCGATGCCGCCTCCGGTAGCGGCCCCGAGGAACCGGAGGGCAGTCCGAGCAGCGACGAGCCAATCCCAACCCAGGGCCCGGCGGCCCCGGGATCCCCCGTCCGCCATTCGGCCGTTGGCCCGGAGGCCGTCACGGCCACCCCCAAGTCGTCCAACCTCGAGTCCGAGATGAGGCGTCCCTCGAGCTACGTGAGTTTGTCCGAGCTCGGTGGGATAGAAGAAACCAAGAGCAATTCCTTCGAGGCCTCCTTCGACAACAGCGGCTTCCGGACCCCCACCAAGGCCAGCAAGCCGCCGCTCCGGCCCAGACCCTCGTCGGTATCGACCTCCAACACCGCCGTGGGCTTTGACAGCTTTGACAACCACAACAAGGAACTCTCCTTTGACGACTTTGAGGTCCAGGGCTTTGACCTCTCCCCCACCGCCGGGAGCTGGGAACCCTTTGCGGAAGACGTCGGCGCCGCCGCCTACCGGCAAAAGGCGGCCTCCTACGGGGCCTCGGGCACCTCGCCGCAGAAGGTTTCCGACTTTCCGCGCTGCTGAGCTCGGTGTCCGGGTCCTCCCCGGCGGGGAAGCGGCTGGCTTCTTTTTTCGGCTGGCAGGGGCTCGATCAGTGGTGGTGCCCCCACGGTTGGCTTCGACTCGATTCGATTTTTTCGGAATTCGGATTGGAACCAGCACCTGTTTTGTAAATTATTTTTGTCTACCGTGATGACGATCGTGAACGTATTTTGTATTCTAGGCACCAGCCACGCCAGAAAAAGTATTCTAGTATACGAGCTAACCAACAACAATATAAGGAAACTACGTTAAACTTCGTAACACCACAATCCGTAGTCGGTTGCGTTTTTCCACAGGGTGCAATTTCATCAAGTTTCCGAGAGAGGTTGAAGAATAGTCTTGTTTGCCTGTGGTCATGCGTCTCGTGCCTCGTGGCATACGCTCTTGGTGCTTCCCACTTTGTCACTCGGAGATACCAACGCGAGCCAATCGCTACTTGTATTCATCGAACGAAGCATGGGTACGAAGATGGTTTTCTTGACGCCGGAGGAACCCACGTCTCGGCGAGAAAAGGTCGCAAGACCACGGAAAGGGGAGTCCAACCAGAAGCGGAAGAGCGACTTCCACGACACTGCCGGGATCGAGACGGTATCTCTCCACAACACCTGCCCACCGCAAAAACGTTGTCGCACCGGGGATGGGGATCTTTGCCATAGCGTCAACTATGCATTCCAAACCTTTGGTGCCTCCGTCCGTGAAACAGGAGGCACCACCGATGCGAAACCGGATTGACTATAAAACGACGACAGAAAACATGTATCGTTTATACGAATAATATTATTACCGAAGTATCTAACACCAGGTGACGACTGAAGGATCTGGCTTTTTCCTTTCTGTTTTTTTTCTTTTGGGTTCGAAATGGAGACGGCGGTATCGCGGCTTCTCTTTATCTTCAACATTCTCGTTGCCGTTCTCGTTGCCGTTCTCGTTGGCCTTCTCGTTGTCCTTCTCGTTGCCCTTCTCGTTGTCCTTCTCGTTGTACTTCTCGTTGTACATTTCAAGGTTCTTCTCATCCAAGATGGATACAACAGTCTGGATGCAATCGTTACTGTCTTCAGGAATCCAGTTTTTACACGACGTGTCCTTAAGAAAAGCTTTTTTTTGAGTTTTACAGTCCGCCTGAGATTGAATTTTTGTGGTGATCCTATAATACACACAAGCATGCCAAATTGGAAAACATAGAGAGCATCCCATCAGCACCACTCCAATCAACTCTGGAATTGCATATAATTGCGATGCAGACACCTCACCATCAAAACTGTGTCGAGGAATACTTGATAATAGCATCCCAAAAAAGTAAACAAGGACAATTGAATTCCCACTGGTCAAGATTTTGTTCTGATAGCTTGAGTCCATAATATCGGGCAAGATAAATACAACTGTCAACGTCAACGCCGATGTCACTTGCAAGTGGCCACCAACATCCATTCCTTCCATAAAATCATGCACCGCATTCAATGTCGCAATGATTGTCACAAGAAACATGGGAAGGATGAACCTCACAAAGCACGCAAAACTGTACTTGTTGACAATGAAGGAGAGGACAAAACGTGGGCAGTAGTTCTTTCTTTTATCATACTGGTAGTAAATTTGGGGATAGGGTGAGACAAAATCATAGTTCTCAGATTTGTCGATCTTTTCCAAAATTTTGAACCAATCCTTCTTTTTTTCTTTTTGTTTCTGCATTTTCTCCTCTCGTGACGTAATGTTGTCCAAGATTTTACTGTGCGAGACATGTGCTTCTAGATTATTGATGCAGAAATTGTGCCGTGGCTCTTTGGTGTGGAGTTGCAAGTCTGGTCGGTAGGTGATTCCCTCACCAAATGTGACTGAACTTAGTTCAATACTTACTTTCCCAACACTGATTTGAAAGGGAAAGCAAGGCAGAATAGTCTCAACTTGTAATGGAATGATTGCCTGAAAGGTTGATACGACTCCTATGATTTTACGATTTTTCTTTCCTTTTAAGCATCTTGTTCGTATCTTTTCAACATTGACCGGTATTTCATTGAAGCGATAAGGGAAATAGATATCTTCACCGTCAACCTGCCCTTTACTGTCTACTTTCATCTCTTCTGGAGTGAAAACTCTTTGGACAAGCGTTGCAACCATGACCAGCCCACCGTTGTCTCTACTTTCGTCATCTCGTATCGACTGCAGCAGAAGAGTGTTGACAACTTTCAGTTTGTTATCGTCCTTTATGGACTCCGTCGTTTCTTCTGTGGCATCTGTGGCATTGCTCATGGTTTTGACGACGGACTCTTTGTGGTCGTCTGTGTTGTCGTTGTCGTTCGTTATCTCCTCGGTTGGATCGTTTGCAAGGTCTTCTTTTGCTCGCAGGTACCCTACAGATCTAGTGAACTTATCCTTCCTTAGGGTGTAGAATGGTCTAACCAGATTGTCTCGCTTATCTGTCTTGCTTTTCCTGTTGTTGGTGGTGCTTCTCGACGTTGTTTTGTTCGTTGGTCGTCGTGGCGCGTGGTCGAAGATCTGATTTATGGTCGAACGTGCGATAGAGCAGCTTCGTCAATATTTTGTGTGGAGGAGTGACGTATTGAATGTGGCGACGACGAATGGAAGAATTCATCGTCGAAAACAAATTAGTTTTGCATAGTGCCAAATGTGCCGGAGGATCATCATCGTAAAAGCAAAAATTGAGCTTTTCGGCGACACAAAAATGTTTTGCACGAAGACTAAGTGAGTTGAAAAAAAAAAAATACTAACGAACCACAGATGCTTGAGACAAAATTGGCACACTAATCTCTCTTTAATCATAGCTAATTTTATAATTTTCACTCATGAAATACCTGTACCAAGCCATCCAGAAGACTTAATTGAGCGTGGGAATATGCCACCCACAAGTTGGCCAGAAGACAGAATATTTACATGAACGTCGGAAAATGCCACCAACAAGTGCAACTTTTGAGGACCAGTCTATGTCTCTAGAACATCTTTTGGCTTCCTTATGACACAGGCGTTTAAGTAAATTAAGTACAGGAAACATAATCAAATATGACAATCTTGTTGTACTGAATGGTGGCCGAATATTTTGCAGTACATACGTACGTAGCAATCTGAAATCATGATTGAATTAGAGACATAATTTCGCGCGCGCCGGTCTTATTTAAATTAAATTTGTATGCATAAATCGACCAACGATTCATTTTTCGTTTGATTCACTTTTTCGTACTTTGCGAATGCTACCGATACGTACGTACGGTAGTCGTACTCAAACTTAAAATTTTCGAATTTTCAATCCTGTACATACTACTGGAAGTCGTAGGAACACCCATAGGATGTCGTTTCATTCACTAGACATTCGTCACTCAACTAAATCTCAACAGCGCTGATTCATTCTTGGACTTCTCTCGAGACTCTCTCTCGAGACTCTCTCTCGAAACAATCGGCGGACCGATCATGGGGTTAGATTCTGTTTGCGTCCCGTTTCGTACCGCCTCGATAAGTGTTCCTGCAACAGGAAACCACCAATGCACCAACAAAACCTGAAAGGAAACAGGAACCCTCGGCTGCGCCTCATGCCCAAAAGACTCCGAATCTTCTATTTTGCGAGCGCCACACTTTTCGGGATGGGGATCTTTTCGACCTTTCAGAAGAAAACTGTTGCCGGGAGCGTCGTCACCGGCAACGCCCCCGGCCGCCACGCTTCCACTGTTGCGTCTGGATCGGAGCTGGAGGACAGGCTAAGGGGAGCATTGTGGGGGTGCGTGCACTTGTTTGGTGTTTTGCATCGCAAATGGTTCTTTGATTGCACGAGTGCTTCGAGGTGACTGCGGCGTTGTTGTCGCAGTTGCTGTTGTTGTCGGAGTTTCAGTTGCTGTTGTTGTCGCAGTTGCTGTCGCAGTTGCTGTTGTTGCTACTATTGTTCTAGGTTTCCTGTACGCGGATTATTGCATCTTCTATGCCCTGCTCACTCTCCGTCTGTCGACTACGGGTGCATCAGGTTTTTGGCCGGCGACGCTTTGGCGAGTCCCACCCATTGGTTCTACGGTGGCAGACGCCAAGTGGTGAGCGAATACGGCCACGCAATCACGGATTACACGAAACCCAACCAACATTTGTCGGGGAGCATCCTGAACAAATCGGACATGAACGGGGGAGGCCGGAGCAAGTTCGGCGCCTCTTCTGGACCAGGAAGCGTCCAGACCATCATTGGCGGCGTCATCAACCACGGGAAAGAGGACCTGTGGTCCCCGAGTCAATCGAATCACTACCACGCCACGCTGCAAAAGGGTGAAAACACGCTGGAGGCATCGCTGGCCCGGGTCCTCATGAAATCCATAGTTGCCACCGACGGAAAGTTTGATGCCGATCACTTCCGGGACGCCTACGTCCGGTTCATGACGACCCCCGGGAGCCACAACGATACGTATGCCAGCACGTGCCACCGAATGTTCTTTGCCAATCTCGTCTTCCGGCGGTTGCCCCCGAAAGACTGCCCCGACAACGACCAGCACAACGTCGACACGATCGACGGCTTGGTCCTGCCAACGATCGTGGCGCTGGCCGGAAGCTTCCGGGGTGGATCCCCCGAAATCGAGCGGTCGGCTTCCGACTGCGCTGCCGTCACGCGACGCTCCACCGTCCTGGAACGGATCGCGGCGTCGTGGAGCGGGGTCGTCGTGGAAGCCGTCCGCAGCCCCAGTGACGAGGGCTTCCGCGAGGCCCTGGACCGGTTTTCTATGGAAACGATCCGCCGCCGTCCGAACGACAGGGTTCGCGACGACACAACGATGTCGGCGTGCTACCTGGGATCCTCGCTCCCCGGGCTGATCGACATGGTCGCCAAGTATTCTCCCACCAGCGGATCCACGGATCCAGGGGATCGCGTCTGGGAGGGATTGCTGGCGAACGCCAACGTCGGTGGCGAGAACGTCCACCGGGGCTCCTCCATGGGGGCCATTCTGGGAGCCAGGGCCGGTGCGGCTCGGCTCCCGTCCAAGCTGGTGGCGGGCCTCTACCCCCGGTCGGAGCTCGAGGCAGAAATCGACGACTTTGTCCGCGCGGTGATGCCGAAACCCTCGCAAGAATCCCACCAATAGAGCCTTTTCGTCTTACCGTTCTGAATCATCACAGGAGTCATCCCTGGGCGGAAACACTTGGGTGTGGAAACGGGGAAAGAGTTCCACCTACAGGACAGATTGAAGGGGTACGAACATCCAAATAGTGATACTTTGGATGCGAGTCGGCCTCATGAAAAATAGAGAGGGGGAACGTACGAAGAAATGGACCCATATATATATATATATATATATATATCCCGGCTGTTTGTTACTCTTCGATTGAACTATTGTAATTTGAACAGGACACAAGGAATCGCACTATTTTTATTGTTGTTTTTATCAAACAATCTGGTTGCAGTTGATGCATTACAATGAATCATAAAGCCAAGCCAACAAATGGATTACAAAATAAGAGATTTGCTTCGTGGGTTTGAAAGAAAATACCGTAGTAATAGTATAATGTCATATTAATCTTCTCACAGAAAGTCTTCTCAAAGACATCTCGGCAAGAAAGGCATCGTTGTAATCACAAACAATGCAACGGACGAATTGAATCAATGCGAACCCATGCTGTAACTGAAACTGAGAGTGCTCGTTTCCTCTGTGATAGAGGTTCGATCCGTGATACGTTCGAGCTCCTCCTCCTCCTCTTGCTGCCTTTCGTCCGAAGGCGTCGAGACCATCAATCCATCAAAGAGCTCGGAGAGGCTGCTGTCGTCGCTCGTACTTAGTTTGCACACAACAAAGGGTGCGTCTAATGGGATCGGCTGGKGCAGCACCAAAAGACTGCTCTCACGGGAAGGAAAGTCACACGGCTCGTCCGGGGCGTCGTCACAACTTGGCTTGCTTGGATCGCTCTTGCACTTTTCGCTACCTTTACCCCAGCTTACCTCGCCAAAGACCTCCGCTTCGAAGATCTCGGAATGGATAGAGGGTAAGGTGGCACTAGTGGTAGCTGGTCTATGACTCCTGATACTCATGAGATCCTTCCCAGCCCATTTTCTTTTTCTGCCGACATCGGAAGCAGCGAGATCCCTTAGGCTCCTGGAAGGGAGCGCGGACTTCCTTTCAGGATCCTCCCAGCACGGGAAAATCCATTCGTAGCCATCCTTCAGTTCCTCCTTTGGAATGGGATTTGCCTTGTGCCGTTCGTACGACGTGGCCCAGTCATTCGCAAGGCGGTGGTTGAACAGCGGGTGGGCCTCCAGGCTGCGTTCGTCCGTTGTGAGCGAGCATGCGCTGCTGGAATCTTCTCGGGATTCCCGATGGGAGTTGCGGCTTACAGACAGGGACCACAAACTGCTCTGGTCGTCCTCGTCCAGCGATCCAAATTCTCGAAAATGGTTTGGGCCGCAGTGGGGATCGATGCAGTCCAGGATCCGGTCAAAAACAAGCAAAATTCCCGAGGGAGCATCCGCCACCAGGCCCGGGGAACGGAACATCCGGTTAGACCAAACGGTCCTATGTTTTTGCTTGCAGAAAAGAAGATCTTCTGATTTCTCCTTGTGTGTTTCCGGATCGTCGTTGTCCGTGACGACGGTTTTTGTCTCACCATCGTTTGAGACATGTGTTTCGTGGTCCATAGCGACAGGGTCGCGCCCGTTCCTCTCCAGCAATTCGTCGAATCTTTCCATTGTATATTCCTGGCTCTCGTCTCGTACAATATGATTTGAGCTCACTGTGTTTTTTGATTCCGACGGGTTGAGTAGAGGCGATTGGCACGAAGCATCGGTCGTGTCGAGATTGCGTTCTGAAGAAGACATCATGGCCACCTCGTTTGCCTCCTTTTTGATACGTTGCAAATCGCTCCAGGGGGTGGCATTCTCAACTTTAGAACAAACATATGAGGAAGCATTGCTACCGGGATTGCTTTCAGCATCATCAACATCGGCATCACCAGTGCCATGACTGTTTTGGTTTGTGCGAGTCCTTCCATCGAACATCACTATTTCTTCTTGATATCCTTCTGTGACCATCGTAGCCCAGTCAATGGGTATATGTTTTCTTTCGATGCACTTTATGCAATATGAATGATCGGGTTGAAATGGAGAGATTGGGCACACTGTCCATACAAAATGAACGGAATCGAATAGAACCAGGGACATTCAGGCTTGGAGTCGAGAATTTTTGATAAGAAATATTTCGTCTGCTCAAATTCACCTACTCCATCGCAAATTCCTCGAGGCAGTGACATTAGAGTCAAGGAACCGTCGCATCAATTCGAACGCTCTAAAACAAATCATCATTGAACGACGACACGCTCATCTGTAGGCGCGTGCACTCCTAACACAAAAGTTGAAATGCTGGTAAGAAGCTTCGTGAAAATCCCATGGTGGCGGATTCATCCTTTGCAGTCGGAGCAGCAAGAGTCTAATGACAAAGGGATGTGAGATCACTCCAATCAATCGATTTTCTTCTTGCGTTCGCTCAATGCTTTGCCTCACTTTTCTCGCAGAAAAATCCTTCGCCATGTGGATCGAATTTGAAATTCAAATGCAAGGGAATCGATTTAGGAGCTACCTATCTAATCTAACGTACGGTGCAGTACGAGAAGGAGTAGTACTTGTACCATTCATTCGATTCGATTCCGTCCAGAGGATACGAGTTTGTTTTTAGTGTTTACTCTATTTCTTAGGAATACAGTATTGAGCTCATAACCCGTATATGTTTGTCACTATTTCCAATTTCTCACGTCGTAGTACGGATACGCATCTATGATATGATCGTACCGTACAGTATGAATTTTAGATTTTAGGGTACGTTTGTGATAACGTACAATACCATAGTTGGTTTGAAGAAGTGTTAGCTGTTTGTTTTGGTTGCTTTTACTTGCAACATTGGGTTTTGCTATGAGGACATTCCTGATGTGATTATGTGATTGTGTGGAGTACCAATCATTCTGGTTTCATTTTCTTTGTTGCCACCAGCTGCTTTCACTCTCCTATTGCTGCTTAACCCACCACACAGCAGCACCTTTGGGTAATGCTATCTTGTAGTACCGTTATGGAGCCATTGAGTGAATAGGTGAAGATCCTTTCATTCTTATCATCACACTGTGATCAGCTCAAGTAGCTCTGCCCCTCTACAGGTTGTAGAAAAAAAACGCAGCAGCTACTACTAGCAAAGCAACACAACAATGACAAGCAACTGGTGGGCACAAAGAAGTAAAATGTTTCAATGAAAAGTAAAGAGTCCATTCAAACCCATATTCAACATCCATTCAAGTTGTTTAGAGGACGTGAACACTTCCAGCATACAAGTTTGTCCCTGGTGCAATCAATCTGTCATGAATGCATTGTTCAGGTCACCATAACAGGTCATTGGAACACTCTGTCACCCATCAATTCTTGCTCACGAGGCATAAAAAAGGAATCCAAAGAACAAAATCGCTTGTGTATAATAGTCCAGCAGCCTATGACAAGACAAATCCTTTCAAATCCACAGTTTGTTGCATTAAATTATCACATTAAGGTTTTTTGAGAAAGTATTGCGCTTGCCATTATGAAAAGGGTGAACAGGCTCCGTGTAGCAGTGAGCACTCATGGAAATGCTAGTGGTAGTCGCAGCCACCCTTATTACTTAACCATGAACCATCGTAGATGAATATATCGATGCTCAAAAGATGGAAAACGGCCATGTTTTATTCCCGTCATCAAGGGTCGACATTAATTTTCATAGAGTAGGATGTTTCATTGTCGTGCCGTAAGGTACAAGTAACTGACTTGACGGCATGCAATCCAGAAATATCAATGTGAATCTATTGATGATCGTTGAATGTATTTCGATCGAACCAATACGCATGCGTTGAACCGCGCCATGAATTTGATCGATTCCTTACGATTTTTGATATCGATTACAGTTCACTCGATAGTGATTCTATCGAATAAGCTTCACACATGTTTTTATTAGGATAGATATCTTCCAACCTCTGTCGTTGTGACCCCACACGTGCTTAGTAATCATTTGGTCGCGGACGCGGAAATTCGGACGTCAGGATTGGTTCATCAGGATCGCATACATAAATTCAACCCGAGACGTTATTTTGTCGGCAAGGCGCAMAGCCCTACCGCATGATGTGTTCCAGAAAACCAAAAAATTGAAGAAGGTATCACTGCCCCTCTCTGTCAGCATTTTTGTGCTTTCCGTTCTCGGAGGGTGTTCCAAGAGAAGAAAGACGACGCATTGTTTAGTCCTCTCGAACAGTTAGAGGTGCGTTTCAAATAATTGCACAGGCTGCTTTGAACTCCGAATACACCCTAAACTAGACGGCGGAGTGTAAACATCTTTAAGAGACAACGAAGGATACACACTCCATAAAATAAATCCACATTTCAACGCCTGGATCATAAAATTGAGTTCAGCAAAACATGTCCTCGTCGTCGTGGCTATACCCTGACGATGAGTCGCATATTGTCAGCGCCGGGAAGCCGTTGCATATGCTCAATCCTAATCAATTTTACAAGATTTGTCCAAAGAGTGTTTTCGACGACGAGGGCGATGGAAGCACTAGCAGCGACGACCCGATTTGTGGCGATGGATCTCCCTTTTGCTTTTATTTTTCCAAGCCCTCCCAAAAATCTGCCAACAAAGACCGTTTGCTGATCGAGCTCATGGGTGGAGGCGCATGCTGGGACTCGGACACGTGCAAAATGCAACAAGAAATGCTCTACCTGGACGAACAATTCGACAATGTCCTGGGACGCTCCTGCAAGGAAGTCCAATACGGTATGCAACAGGACAGAACAGAGGCGAACATGCTCTGCAGCAACCAATTCGATGACAGGGTTAATTTCGCACAATACAACACCATAATTGTGCCGTATTGCACACAGGACGTGCACCTTGGATCCAAAACTTTGGTTTACACCGAAGACACCGACGATGACGACGGAAATAACGGCGAAAGCCAGACTGTCCACCACAAGGGGGCGAACAACCTCCGGTTTGTCACAAACTGGGTCTTTAAGAACTTTCCCGGCCTCCGTTACGCTGCCGTAACGGGCTGTTCCGCTGGGGGGACCGCGGTTCCGGTGGTCGAAGCAATTCTGCACCGGCACTACAATCACTTTGGAAATCGGGCCACGCAGGTGTCCTCCATTGCCGACTCTCCTGTATACCTGACACCGAGCTATTTTTTGAAAAACGCCCTTAGCAACTGGGATCCCCAGCCGATTTTGTCTTCGATCGGTGTCCCGTATGGAAAATACCGTTCATCCGAAGACTATCCGACCTTGGTTTGGGATTATATATTGCGAAAGGGTAGCAATCGAAACCGCTGGGGTTTTGTGTCGCACACGGAGGATCCTGTCAGTCTGACCTACTATCAGTACATGAGCGGAAACGGAGATGGGGACGACGACAACAAAAATTACGACGACGACGCCTATCATTACGACGACGACCTTAACGAAAAAAATTCCGGCAACCAATGGTACGACGAACTCTCCGAATCCGTCGCCTACATCAAGAAAAAGCATCGCAATGTCAAATCATACTGGATGGATTCCGAGGGCCACTGTTCGTTTGGCTTGTACTACGCGCTCCAGGACCAAGACTTCCCCGAGTTTGCCGCGTCAATCGTACGGGAGGACCCGCTCGTTCTTTCGGCCCGCCCGGCCGCCCGGTCGTTCTTTCTCGCGGCCACCACGGGATCCTGCCTCCTGGCCTACCTGGTTTTTCACCGGATCCGAAGGCAGTCGTCGCTGCAGCCCAGCGAGGACGAGGATGGGGAGACGGACGGCTTTTCGGCCATGGACAAGGACGGGATCTGGATTCAGACCCCGCCGTCGGCAATGTCAGACGACAACGAGTCGATTAGAACAAAAAAGTATCGGACGGTTCGGCGGCGCCTTTCAGCGCTCCTCGTGGCCCTGGAAGACTACCCCGTGACCTCGGGCTATACCTTGTGCATCACGGTCTATCTTCTGGCCATGCTTATCAAAGAGGGATTTGCCCACCCCATAAATAACCCCTCCCTTGGACCCAGTGCCGTAGGTCTTTCCATCTTTGGCATCAACAATCCCTCCCTGATTGTGTACTATCACCAGTGGTTCCGCCTGTTTACCAGCAACTTTTTGGTCAGCGGCCTCCTGACTTTTGGCCTGGCAATGTTCTACTTGTGGTTCCGGATTCGGAAGCTGGAGCAGCGAATGATTAGCGATTTCAAGAGCCCGTGGCTCTTTGTGACGGTGATCATTATCCTGGCGACGATCATCAACGCGGCCTATTGCTTGGTGCCGCCTCGGCGCGGGGCCAGCACCGCCGCCATCCCCCTCCTCATTGGTCTCCAGACCTTCCACCTGACCTTTTATTGGAATTCCTTTGTGCGGCCATACTTGTCGATTGGTGCCGTCCTCTTTGATTTTATCGTGGTGGTCACCCTGTTCCCCTTTAACAGCTGGGTCATGATTGTGGCTGCCGTGGTAACGGGCTGGATTCTGGCCAAGATGGCTCGAACCTTCGACATTTGGCTGCCTGGGCCCATGATGAACGTCCTCAAGCAGAGCGGGATCAACATGGAAATGGGCAGCACCGTAAAATCCGCCAGGGAGGCCGGAAACCACCAGATCTCCTTTGGAACAGCCCTGAATTTCCCCTCGGCGGCCGCGTCAGAGAGCGAGTACAGCAACTTCGACGGGCACGTCAACAACAGCAGCCGGTACGAAACCGTTGACGAGCAGCGGTCCACCTGCCCCGACCACAATCGAAGCCGCCGGTGGAAGTTCGTGAGGAGGACGGTGGTTTGCAGCCTCTTGGCCTTGTTTGTCCTCATTCTGGTGCCGCTCTTTGTGACGCTTGTGGCAAAGCCCAACGCACTCTACGCAGAGCCGTTTTACACCGGGTGCAAATCTTTTTACACGTCGGACATCGACGAGCTTGCAGCCTCTTTCTCTTTGTCTGGGAGCGACGACGATAATAATCAAAACGAGGAGGGTGGCAGAAGAAGCCTGGTTATCGCTACCGCAAAAGAAACCTCGCAATTCTTTGTGCGCTGGCTGGCAGGCGAAGGAGACGAAAACAAGGACGGGGATGGGTACGGGTGCGCTGAATTTTGTGTACCTCACCTGGTGGTTCCGATCTTTCAAACCGTCCTTAGAAAGAAGAAAATCCCGATTGCGAAGGGCAGGTGTTTAGACAACGGTTACTCCAACCACATCATCGACAAGACTTTTTCGGCGCTGTCATATTCCCTGGATGTGGAGCTCTATGGTGCTTCCGGTGGTTATGACGACGATAGTGACAACGACGACATGATGTAAAGAACTGTTTAAGTCATAGCAAGTCGACCCGACCTAATCCACTACGCACTAGGCAACGCTGCGGATTGCCATTGTACTATAGTGTAACAATATTTTCAACATGTTATTTTCTTTCCAAACTAGATACTTTGTTTTTCCACAACATGAATTCAGGTCTCACTTATCCTGCATATCAGACACACGGTACCGTCAGGATATCGTTCTACTTTTTGAATGAAACTAAGTTACACGTCGATCGACCCAATAGTTAGAGAAAACACAATACTACAAACACGAATGGCTGAGACTGTTGCAAAAAATCAGAGAAAGGCAGAGACTCAAATCAAGCCAGCTGGGCGATGGATCTGTAGATAAAGTGGTTGCTTTAGCAAATATGGATGGCCTCGTGAGGACGTGCATAAGATGTACCAAGGTGGTATCATTTATGGCTACCCATTCACGAACGGAAGTTACCATTCTGTGTAGATTGCTTCCAACAATCATACGTCGATTTTGGGACGTAGAAGCAGTTGACCGATGGTCATTTTGAATCAAACCCTCGAACAGTATTGCTATTTCATGTACTTCGAAACCTACCCAGTAATATGATTCGTGAAAATTGATTACTGCAACAAATACTACTACTGTCTTGCAAGCATATTAAAATTATGAAAGTACCAAGTACCGTACTTCATTCATGTAATTTAAAAGAAATCCACACCTGCTAGTCGATGAAATCATGCAAAAAATAGACATACTAGAAATACGTTATGGGACGGAGGAAATACATACGATTGTGAGCCCTAAAACACAGTAGTACTACGTAAAACGCAAGCAATCACGAGTAGATAGTGAGTGAGCACTCGCACGACTCACCAAAAAAACCAAATCGTTCGTGGGAAGAATCGCACAGAAGGCAGAATTTTTCCTCAACGTTAACGGCACAAAACATACTGCTGCAATTTTGCAGGCACAACCACAGACAGCAACACGAACAACGCCATACAGCACAACGCAATTCAACACAACGGAACGCAACACAACACAACGCAAACAACATGGACTCCTCCTTTGGCGACGACGACCTCGTCTACCCCAACCTAAGGGCCTGCAAGCTGAAAACGATCGGACCCGCCGCCGCGACCTCGAGCCCCCCCGTTCGGCTCCCGAGTGCCGTCCGCGAGGCGGTGGAAGCGCCGCCGTACGGGAGCGTCCGCGGTGGAAACCGACTCGACGGCTGCGCGCTGGGTGAGTAACGCAAAACAAAACAAGGCAAGGCAAGCAAACACGGGTTGGTTGCATGCGGGGAGTGATACAGCGGGCAGCATCGCACGCGGACTCGGGGGTTCGATTGGGAGACGCTCGGAACGAATCTGCCCGTTGCTTTCGCCTCTCTCTTCTCGTTTCCATCGCTTCGTAAAACAGGTTCTCACCCAGTATCTGTGTCAACGTATTTCTTCATCTTTCATCGCTCAAATTGTGGTACAACCAATGGAACAACACAATCGATCCATCMACACGGACAAAACAACAAAAAATATGACTGTAACCAATTCATCCGTGTACGAACCAATCCATGCTGCACTCAACAATCCGCTTGGACTTTCAATGCATCAACGGCGACTATGTCATCAATGATAATGCCGTGACTACGGGTTGATTTCAAAACTCAACGCGACACGATACACTGCACGACACGCGCCACAGAACGGGCCGTGCTGAAGCGACAAGAGGAACGGGCGAGGGAATGTGTGCTGAGGGGGGCCACCTCGAGGGAGGAGCTGGTGCATGCGACCGTCTCCAAGATGAGGAGCGTCACGGGGGCCGAGGAAGACGTGTGCATCGCCATTCTCAAGCGACACAGGTACGACGTGACGGAAGCCGTCGAGGCCTACCTCGACGGCCAAACGCGATAAAAGGAAACAATGGCCGAACGATGGACAACAACGACAGCAGCACTCGGATACCAAACAAGATGGATGAATGGATGAAAGCTTAATGAATACGGATGACCATTCCGAAAATGATATCAACGAGATGGGCAAGAATGAATGAATAATTGAGAAACAGCACAAAACAACAATCGACACGAACAATAAATTTGCTGCAAAATAAAACGAATTGGTTGTAACATTCAGAGCTAGATAATTGCGGTAACCCACTTTTCTAAGCGCTGGCTTTTAGCGGTCCACAGCGGATCGATTTTTCCTCTCGTCCCTCGTTTGGAGCAAAATTCAATGTTACTACTTTTGGTATTTGTCTTCACGGAAGAGATTTAGGTGGTTCGGGCGCGGGCCTCGTCCGTGGCTCGCTCCTCCGTATGGTAGGATTGGGCGGACACTTGCAATGGGTGAGGCTTTGGTTGGTGGGCTGGATTGTCGGTGCGGTGTTTTTGGGAGGCAGGAGTCTGCGAGCACAGTACATTGGTTTGTAAGCGTAGTTTTGTAGTGGTTTTGAAAATTTTGAAAATATACGAATCACGAATGGTATGTTTTCTTGATATTGCAAGTAGGTATGAAGATATGAAGAAACACGGGTCATTTTTGCTTCGGAAAAATGAACGTACCAGTACCAGATTTCCCAAGAGCTTGGCCAAGCTGAAACAACACGATCCTTTTTGATTCTTGAATTCCCGAGTGGTTCAAAAATACCGTGGGTAGAAATGCGGACAAGGAACAACACCACCAATCGCCACCAAACAATGCCCGCTACCCGCGTTTCTAGACATTTCGTACACAATGACAACACCACCAACGACGCCACCAACAGCACCGGAAATACCCGTGGCAACAGCAGAACCGGAGTGTCCAAGAGATGACAGCGACGGCCAGAACGACAGCAAGGACGGCTCTCCCTCCGCGGAGAATTGCAACGCCGCCGCCGGTCCTCCTCTCCCTGTTTCCGAACCCGACAACACCAGCGACGACGACACCGGCCACAACATCAGCGAACACAAAGACAACGATAAAGACAACGACAACACCGGCGATAGCGTCTCGCACGACGAGATCCGCAGGGCCAACTTCTCCGGGAGCATCCCGGTGAGGCTGGCCCTGGCCCAGACCTCCCTGTCCTCCGCGGAGGCCCCCCGGCCCTTCCACGCCTTGGTCCGGAGGCAGACCTTTCTGCACCTCGGCCTGGAACGGGCGGTCCGGGCCCTCCACGAGTACGCCCCGCAGACCCTCGCCATTGCGAAAGGGGGCCGGGTCGTCGTCCAGGAAGACGACGACGAGCAGGAGCAGCCGGCGGGAGAAACGGACGCCCGCCCGGAAGAACCCGAAAGGGTGCCGCCCTACCCGACCTGCTGGTTCGAGGACGTTTCCACGGGCCAGCCCCTCCGGTGGCAGTACTTTGCTGGCGTCCTCTTCGACTCGTTGCAAAGCGAAAACGGCGGCTCCAAGCGGAGGCTGCCCTGGGAGCTGAGGCTCCACTTTGGGTCCTACCCCTCGGACCGGCTCCTGGAGCTCCCCGACGACCCGGACGGCCCCGGCGTCCTCGGGACCCTCCGGCACGCCTTCCAGAACTCCCTCAAGCAGGGTTTGGTCCTCCAGCACGGGACCCCCAAGGCGGCCCTCAACCTCTCCAAAAAGTCCCACGTGTCCATCTGGGAGGAGGGGGTCCGGGACGGGAACTACGAGGCGGTACGGCCGGTCCTCTTTCCGGGGAATCCTCCCCCCGGGCCGGGCCTTGCGGCGGCGGAAGGGGACAACGGTGGCACCGGCGGCGACTCCCTTGCCGCCGGCAAAACGGTCGGAAGCACTCCGGCAATGGTCCCGGTCCGGCTCTCCCTCGACCCGGCCAAGCCCATGGTCCAGAGGCGGATCGACGGGGGCGGAAGACCGGAAACGGAAGCGATGACCCTGGGCTCCCTCCTGCAAGAGTGGGCCCCCGACCGGTTTGCGGCCCCATGGCCACCACCCCCCTGCGTTTGGGTCGCGGGGATCGCCCCCCCGCTGGACACACCCGTCCTTTGCCTCTGGCGGACCCTCCGGCACCCCGACAACTTTTTGTATGTGTGCGTTTCCGGAAGAAGAAGAAGCGGTGGCACCGGCAACGGCGCGGGCGTTGGCGGGGGCGGCGAACCGAGCAGCGGCGGCGGCGGCAACGCCCATCTTTGACGACAACATCCGTGGCGGCACGGGACGCCCACCAATTGGGAACGAAACGAAATTGGAAAGTGTTGGTGACAGCCCAAGTGGCAGAAGAAATGAAATGTTCGGTGTGGCTGGTTTCCGACCATGCTAGTTCGTTGCGGTTGATCCGACTCGCCGTCCCGGTCGGAACAAGAAGAGCACACAAACGAATAATTTCTCCGCTTCCCGATGGATTCGGATGGTGGGCTTCGAAAAAATCATGGGGAGACCGTTCCGAAAATACTCGCGGTAGAAACAGGACCCCGGGCTTTCGTTGTCGCCAATGCTTATGTCTACAGCAAACGTCCATCGGGCAGCGTATCTCCACGAGTTCACTACTCCTTTCGGAGCGAAGCGAAGGATCTGCTGCGAAAGATGGGTGGTCCTCTGGCTTTTGCCGAAAAAGACACGAAGGCGATCCTTCCGAACGAATCCACGAGCTCTGGACAATAAAGAAAGCTAATTTTGAACGAGGAAAGAGATGCCCGTCGTTTCCTCACTCGGAGCGCGATGCAGAGATCGCTGCACGTCACGAGCAGCGAGGTTCCGTACGGAAACACCACGAAACGAAAGGATTCAACGACCAACTACCCCGCCATTGATGCTGCCACCGGAACCGAAACCGAATTCGAAGTCGCAGCAAATCGTAGCGGCAACAAAGGGTTCAGAGGCATAACTCGAAAGCACCTGTTTTTTACGTTGGCTGCCACGGTGATGCGGCGTTTGATGACCGAGTATACGGTCGGGAAACTTCCTGCTGTCCAAGCCCCAATAATTAGTGCAACGCTTGTTTTCTCTTTGGCTTGATATCCTTCATCTATGGAAGTTTGACATGCTCCTGAAATACAGTGTTGTCTATCTATCGAAACGATGACTGAACGTAATTTGCGTTGCGCAAAAAAGAATTCCACCAATCCCACGAAAAATTGCACCGCTTCGAACCATTTTGTTATTGTCACAAAAAAAAGTGTCGAGTGGTCGTCGCGCTGCGTCGTCCATCGGTACGTCTCAATACGTGGCATTATACGATTAGGAGGTTATAGTTTCGAAAGGGTAGGTTCCGGGCCGCGGTGGCTTCTTGCTCCTCTCCGGCTGCCTTGCTCCTTGCGGCGGTTGGCACGGGCCGTGCACGTCGGTCCCCGGCTCGGCCCCGTGGTGCACGCGGGAGAGGAACGCGGCGGTGCCTCGCACCGGGTGCCGCACTCCCCGCCTCGCGACAGGGGCCTTGCCGGGAACGTCATTCGCAGGCCTTTCGGCCGGGGCGCTGGGCTCGGGGGTGGATCAAGGGAAACCGAAAAAGCTGCGGGCTACTAGAACGGGCGTTGTTTGTTCCCCTATTTGCCGGCCTTGGCGACGGCAAGGGTCACCACCTCGGTGAGGTCGGGGTGGTCTCCCGGGAGCCGGTCGCTCCACTGGTAGAGGACCTCGTCGTTTCGGACCACAAAGGTCCCGCCCAGCCGCAGGACGCCCTCGGGGATCTCCCCAAAGCCCATGCCCTTGGGGATCGGCGAGGTCTTTCCGACCGCCCGAAAGTAGCCCATCCACTGGCCAAAGCTCAGGCCGGGGGCCTCCATCTTGACCTGCTTGGCGGTCTCGGGGTCGACGTCCGTGAACTTTCCAAAGCCGGCGGCCTCGTAGGCGTCAAAGCCGTAGCCGTCCACCAGCATGGATCCAGGATCGATGGCCGGGTTTTGTTCCAGAAAAGCGCCGAGCTTTTCCTCGTCGCCGATGCTGACAAAGAAGGGCCCGCCGACGTTGCTGCGTTTCAGTTGCTCCCGGACGTCCTCCCAATCGTTGGCGTACGTCCAGCAGTAGGGTCACCCCATGTGCCTCAGGAAAACGACGACGTTGGAGGTGTCCTTTTGGAGCAGATCGCCCAGGACCACGGTTTCGCCCTTGTGGTTGGTGAGGGTGGCACCCGTCAGGGCGGAGGCGTTTTCCAGGACGGCTTTCTCCACACCGGAGGGCGCGTCGCAGGGTGCCGCCTCGGCGTCCTCCGTGGTGGAGAACAGCGGGGTCGAGGGCCGGGCCGCCAAACCGGGGGCAGCCAAGGCGCTGCCGGCAAGCCTCGGCGCCGCAAAGGCCTCGGAATAGGAGGCGAATCCCGCGGTCGCCGCCAGCGCCGAAACGATGGAGCGATGGATCCTCATCTCGGGTTGGGTTGGGTTCGGTTGGGTACGGTACGGTACGTAGTTGTGTGGATTGTTTGATGGCTTGCTCCGTTTTGTTTTGTGATTGCAGCGTGGCTGTTGGCACTTTCTGCTTACGATCCTTTGGTTTGTTCTTGCAACACGAAAAAGAAAAAATCGCGAGTCTCACGATTGACGAGGATCGAATGACGACCGACTGAGTCAACGAATGGAAAAACAAACAAAACAAAAATCATCCAAAAAATTATAATAACCCTATTTCTAAGAGAGAATTCAAAAACTACGGTAGAGAAATCCATTCGAAGCCATGTTTACCGCCTGTCCCTCGTACGTATATCATAAAATAGACCCCTGCACGTACGTACGAACGTACCGCACGCTTCTGCCAGATTTTTTATTGGCCGTGAACGGATCGAAGACGGCGTTCGATTGAAGGGAGGAGAAAAATGATTGTCGCAATCGAGAATGGATTTTCAAAATGGAAATTCACAGCCGACGGAAGATTCCCGTTGCGGGGCTCCCTATTTTCTGTATTTTTCGCACAGAACGTTGCATACCTCCAATAGAATAGTAGGTACGGTACAATACCCGATACTTCCACTATCGATTGGACCAATCCACCGGGCAGACCATTGGTAGTTCGAAGGCACTAGCTTCTGCAACACATCGGTCAAAGAAACAAACAGAAAACAACAACAACAACAACACGCAACCATGATGGACGCCATTGTGCAACTGATCCGAAACTTCCTGTGCTGCGTGAAGGACTGGGAGCTCTTCTCCGACACGGCCTTTTACGATCCGGCCCACACCAACTCCCTCCTCAAGAGCTACCTCGGGGTGGAACTCCCGCAGTACGTCGACAAGACCACCCCCCTCGAGGCGATCATCTCGATCACGCAGCTCTACGCCTGCCTCTCCTGCGCCAGGAGCGGCATCGCCCTGGCCTGGACGTCCGCCGGGAAGCTGAGGCGCGTCGTCCGGCTGCTGGAGGGCCGCCTGTCGGCCGTCGCGGCCCTCGACCGAAGCTCCCCCAAGACCGAGATCGCGGCGCACCGCATCGTCAACGAGAGCCTCGTCAAGGAGGCCAAGGCGGCCGTCCGCAACGTCTTTGTCGGGCTGCTGGTGGCGCCGATCGGCTTTTCCTTTTTCTGGCTCTTCGCCAACTCGTGGCACGTCACGGAGGCCGGCTGGATCGGTGGCCTCACGGCGCTCATCGACGCACTTACGGTGATGGAGGTCGCGCTCGTTCCCCTGCTCTACTACATGCTGGTGGACGGCTTTGAGCAGTTCCGCCTGGCCAGGGAAACCAAAGAGTGCATCGACGTCGTCGCGTCGTCCAAGACAAGCAAGGACTCGTCCTTCGACACGGAATACCTGAACGTGACCCGGTACGAGTTCATGGAACCGGGGTGGGTGCCCTTCTACGAGAGCGGGATCGGTGCCATGGCCAGACCCAGCGACAAGGAGGAAACCGAACAGATGGCCGGAGAAACAAAGCGTGTGAAGCAAACCCTGGACCTCTGGTTTGCCGGATCGGCGTCGTCCAGCGGCAAGGACGACTCGAAGGAAAAGGACGCCAAGATCCGGGGGGAGGCCATCGACAATGCCCTCGCGACCATGAACAAATCGCTCTTTGGCCTCTCCGCCAAGGGATACCGGGAGTTCCTGTACCTGGTGCTGAACTTTGTCGCCTTTTACGGATACCTGATGGCGATCGTCGGCTTTTACTACCCCGACGACGACTTCCAGCCGGGATGGATCAAGGGGATGAAGTTTGGTTACGACAACAACTTTGCCGACTGGTCCGGGAATTTTGCGGGGGACCTGATGTGGACGATCGAGCCGGCGGTCATCCTGGCGAGCCCGGCCCTGATTTCCTACCTGCAGCCCACCACGGAGCAAAAGCCGGCGGCAAAAGCCAAAACGGAGTAGAAAGGGTGTGGAACAGAAGCGCAAAAACCAATCGAACAGAGTGGGCTGCGGCATTGTGGCACGCGGCGATTCTCGGACGCATTATTCGATCAGCAATGGAAAGGAACAAACAATATGAATGTCCTAGCAACACATTAATAACTATTGGGAAGTTAGTTCATGCTCTGTGAGAAAATATCGTCACCATCTATATGTTTGCTACCACTACTAATAGAAATATTTAGGGACTCAGCTGGTTTTTTTGTGTGTGGAGGGGGGAGAGGAAAATGGAGATGGGAAAATGAAAAAAATGACAGCCAGGAAATTGCCAAAAACTTGCCAGCATGGGACTTTACTTACTACTAGTAGTAGCTATGAAACAGTCTTGATTAATTCCAAAGCTTTTTTGGAAAATCAGTACACACTATGATCATCCAATGATTGGTGCAAACTTATGATCATGATACGGTACATAGTATATAATTCACACATGCTATTTCTCCACCAAAGTGCCAGAAGATTCATTAGAAGAACAGCAACCACAAAATATCAATGACAATCTCCCATTAATTCAATCACTGCACATGCCAATTGACAATTGATTGCAGTACATCACAAATGCCGCACCAAATCAAAGCAGAGGTCCCACTACCCACCAGGAGGTTTCTTTGTTTCTTGTTGTCAGCATACTAGTTCTTAGTACCAGGACTACTAGTATGAGGAGCTCAAAAAACATGCCACGTTTTCAGGAAACTGGTGTAAGAAAAAGCAGGAAGCTTGCAAGCTTCAATTTATTACTACTAGTAGTAAGAAGCAAGAAGAAGAAGAAGAAGAAGAAGAAGCACCAATGAATACCATTATGAATATCATTGAATTCTCTTTTATCTTCTCTTAGACAATACTATGTATTGCTGGTGGTGCAATAATAAAAAATGCTGGCCCATTTTGAACAATCATACTACTTCTAGTACTAGTAGTAGTAGTCAAAGTAGTACCACCACCAGCTTGATGATTGGTGGTGAGGATAACATGTTCTTCCAACATCACCATTGGATAAGACGTCTACTATCATCTGTACTAAAAGCATCATATGATTGGGTAGAACTATGTGGAGTGGCTTCCTCACAATGGTGTCAATGATGACGAGGAGGCAGTAGAAGAAATAGCAGTATCTATTCCATTAGTAATGATACTACTAGTACTAGTAGTACTAACTATCAAAAACTGTGAGACATAGTTGAATGGCGGTTGATAATTCCTACTATCACATGGTGACTGAAATCAAAAAACAACATGTTCACTTACTAGTACAACTACTAGTACTACAACTGCTAGTACTAGATTTGTAGCACAAATTTTCTTGCCAAATGTGCTGCTGCTTCATCATCCAACCACTGTCTTCTCTTATTTGCAGTAAGAATCATACTCCTAGAAATAGCAGTGTGCTACTACTAGTAGTAGTAATAGAACAATTCTCAATAATCTCATTGATTGTCTAAAATGTACCAGCAATTATCTCCACTCCTAGACCACCACCAGAAGAAAGGTTGACTATCAAAAATCTACTGCTAGTAGTTGCTAGTACTAGCCAGTGGATCACCTCTCCTCTCTCCACTGCCTACTAGTACTACTAGTAGTAGGATATGTATTTTGACTGGTGGAACAAGGAGAATACTACTAAAATCAAAATAATGGTTAGTACATGAATTGATCCACCGCCATTACTAATAGTACTAGTAGTAATACTACTAGTATTTACAGGTCACACTAGTACTACTATTACTAGTAGATGAATACTAGAAAAATATTAAATTTTGGCAGTCAAGAATTACATCCCTTAGCAGAATATACTGCTGATCAAGAAGTGGCAGTGGTGGTACTATTCAAGAGGAAGATGAGGAGGAAGATGTAAAAATTGGTAATGAGGTCTTCTTCTTCTTCTTCTTGATCATCAGCAGCAAGAAGCAAAGAAATTCCACTACTACCACTTCTACCACCACCATTGCTGGTGATGACAGGGACAAAGATGAGAACTTCTTGTTCTTGTTGCTCCACACCACCAGTGGTGCTACCACCAACAGAAACAAAGAAGTTGTAACTTGATTGTTGTTGACTTCATCAAAAGTGTACTGCATGTAGACTTCAGACTACCCTAAAGGAAATCATTCAATAGTAGTACTAGTAGTACTAGTAGCACTACTAGTAGGACCTTTCTTCATATTGGCTACAGTGCACTGGAAAACCACTATCTTTAGTAGTGCACAGTAGCCAGTAACCTTGAAGAATTCTTACAACCCTGGACTTACTGAGGAAACAAAATAAACTTTTGTAGTGTGGATTTGTGTAAACCCTGGTATTTTGCAAATAAATTAGTACCTTGACCAAAAACATAATATCCATTTATTGCTTTTGATTGTTTTGAGAGAGAGACAATTGAGGAATTTGTTTTGGATTCCAATACAGTTCAAAACAAACACATTTTATTTCTTAAATCTCATGTTGCAATTCATTTGTGCATGCCAGGCAAACACAAAGATGCTTCTGTTTATGAATTTTTTCTCTGGCTTCACCACCATAACAAAAGGAATCAAATCAAAGAAAAAAAACAATTGATTGGTCAACTCCACACCCTGCAAAAAAAAAGCTTGAAAATTTCCAAATGGGAACAGTAAAAGCTTTGGAAGCATCCCCATTGATGGTAACATCAATCATCCAAAAGATACTGATCACAAACTTGTTGGCAATGGAAAAATATGCTAAATTTTCATTTAGGAATGCAAGAAACGAACTCTAGACAAATTTGAAATATTTCTCAAAATTCAGGGAAAATCAAAAAAGTGGGAAATTTAAACTGAATCATCAGAAACTGCTGAAAAATGCCCAACAAGATTGCTGCAGCAGTTTTAATTCAGGGGGATCAAAAGATGCTCTAGAACAAGTTACACAAATTCTCTTCGTAAATGGGAGGAACTATGGGGGGAACTACTGTCAAACTAATGAAGTAAGTGACAACCTTTGTTTGTTTGATGAACTTCAGGCAAATTTTGTTGACAATATGGATATGATATACGATCCAGGTCAGATTCAGTTCACAGACAGATTCAAGAAGCTGCGAATTGGCACTTTGGTTGTCACTTATCAAGGTTCCCACAAGTGTGGAAGAATGCTGCTGAAAAGAACACCAAAAGTCCCACCATGTTCAAATGCAATTGCACTTCAGAACTCAGGTTCAGGTAACTTGGTTTTTCTACAGACAATGCACAGAATCTCAACCATAATATAAAACCTAATGAGCTTCAAAGAAGTGTTTTGTATCAAATTCTACACAAAACCTTTGATGTTGTCACCCACGAGACTGATCATGCAAAAGCTATGAAAAACTTCACATTTACTGGAGCCTTGGAAAATATCAGAAAAGTTGAAGTTTTAAAAGGACAAAGACAAAGAAAATGCATTTAGCCAGATTGTTGCTGCTTTTGTTTCAAAACTTCATAAAATATCTCTACATTCACCTGAACAATGAAGAAAATGATATTCCACAAGAAGATTAATTGGTAATTGCCACAACAAATACATTCAAGATTTCAAGGCAACAATGAGCAACAAAGAGCAGTTCAGCTGTTTTCTATCAGGGGCTGGTGGTACTGAAAAATCAAAAGTAATTCATTATGTTTGGCATTATTATAAGATGTTTTGCAAAGAATTGGGAATGAACTTTTCCAACAGAACTCTAGCTATCACAGGCATGACTGGTGGAACAGCAGCAGTTAATATCAATGGGGAAACCTGACACATTGTAAAGCTTGATACACTATCTAAATTGTGACAGATCCAATGTCACAGGTAAATGAGACTTACCTACTCACTATTGACAAGATATCATTTGCTAGCATCAAACAAATTGAAACATTGAATAAGTATCTGAACTGATTGTGTGACAAGCCATCGTATAATTTGTATGGCAATCTACCAATTGTCTTTGCAGGCAACTTCAATCAACTCAAATCTATGGGAGGAGACTCTCTATTGTCAAAAAGATGTCCATCTTTGGAGAGAGAAAAAACAACACATTTCTTGAACTTAAACAAGAAACCACAGGTTTGTTAGGGATGATCCAATCTGGGGAGAGCTTCTTGATGGTTTAAGAACAAATGGCTTAAAAGAGGAGAATGTTCAAATCATCAATTCAAGAATTGTAAAATCTTGGGACAAACTCCCAGAAGATATTGCTTATGCAACACACAGCAATACAGACAAATGTGCAATAAATGATTGCATATTTTCTGACTTTCTCAAAACAACTTATTCAAAAAATATAAATGAGAGATTACCAGATCACACTAGTATTGTAATCAAGGCATCAAACCTAAAAATACAGATAGACAAAAAAGAAAATACAGAGACATGCCAGAATTTCAGAAATACTGCTTGCTGACTGCCACATCAGATGCTGACATTGTTGCAGGTATAAACAAATCTTCCAAAAGGATAGTGAGTAGATCCAATTCTTAAATTGTATATTGGTAGAACTGTCATGATCAACGACAACATAGATGTTGAAAAAAGCAAATGGAGCCATGTGTACATTCAAGTCAGTCAAACTGAAAAATGGGTACCAAGATTGTGAAATTATCAACTTTGATGGATTTTATGTTCAACGTGTACTAGTAGATGCTACTACTAAGAAAGTCAAATGGATGGAGGTACTAGTCCTTGAAAAAGGAGCCTCAAAAAAGTGATCACTTTAACTCCTCAAAACATGACAGCAACTACAAGAATATGAATCAAGAATTCCCCTTCAAACTCAAACAAGTCACAAGGGAATTCAATTAACTCAATTTCCAGTCAATATTGCTAATGCAACAAGAACTGAAGATCTTTGGAAAATGTGTTGGTTTCAAATTGGTCTTGCACAAGCAATTGGATTTATGTTGTGCTTTCAAGAGTTAGAACTTCCAATGGTCTGTTTGTAAGAACACCTCTACTACTACTACTACTACTACTACTACTACTACTACTACTTACAAACAAGAACAAGAAGAAGAAGAACAACAACAACAAAGAAATAGTAGTAGCTACGCAGCATAGTACTAGTACACAGCAAATTAATGATTTCCATTCCTATTTCAGAAACAGCAAACAGCCACCGTGCTTTTGTTGAAAACCTTCTACTACATTCTTTTCAGAGCATAACTTCTTCCTCACTAGCAATAACTTAGTTTGCGTTAGCGAGCCAATCTCTCTACTACTACTAGCAACGGCCTGGAAAAATCATTTGAAAATTGAAAATACCAGAAACAACTAGAATTGAGAATCTCCTCAAAATTTGAAATTTGAATTTGAAATTACAGCGTCAGGTGGTGGGACAAAAAAATTCTTCTTCCGATGGTCAATGAACAAAAAGTACTCGTACATACAGTACGAAATCAATCAAATCCGCAGCTGCTATCTCTGCAACACTGCGTAACAAAAACAAATTACACACTACTACGACGATGAATGGTGACGGGACAATGCTGGGGAGAATATTACTGGTTATCTCACTTTTTATTGGAGTGCAATCATGGAGCACGAGTCACAGCTCGCTCCTTGATCGGGGGCGTGGAACCCAAACCATGAGGTGCACTACAAGTCCTTCTGCCGCAACGGGGAGAGTCAACCGACTCATTTCGTCTCCAATCATTCTTCGTGCCGAAGGCAACGGCAGCAACGAAAATGAACGTAAACCGTGGGACGTCCTCAGGTTTGTGCGCCAGTCTTCTCGGTTCGTGAGCCTGCCGTTCCCCGGAAGCGGGGCACCCAAATCCTCCCTGGCCGAAGACCGCCGGGGGAGGATCGCACCGGGGACCCTTTTGTGGAAAGCCGGTGACCGGGATCGGAACGATTTCGAATTCGCCCCGCTCGACGATGTCGTCATGGGCGGCGCGTCCTCGTCGACGTTCGATGAGGCGACCGGAAAGTGGACCGGATCAGTCACCGACGCCAACAGCGGTGGATTCATCGGGATTCGCTCGACTCCCCTGGTCAGCTACGATTTGTCGGCCTGCACCGGCATCGAGTGGACCCTTTCTGCTGCCGACAAGCAGCGGCTCAAGGTCGTTCTTCGAGATTCCGCCGATTTTAACGGCATCGGCTGGACGACTAGCCGAGACGTGGCTGCTGCAGGAACCATGGGCTCCAGGAAATCGTTGGTCACGCTGAGGATTCCGTTCGGCGGGAACGGAACCGGGAACAACCAACCGCTGCTGCCTTCCCGTTTTGCCAAGATTCTAACCGATTTTCCTCCGTTTGCTTCGTCGAGCGTTAAGGCCTTTCAGTTGACTTACTCGAAATTTGAGTACGATGGGGGATTGAACCCAAGATTCAACGTAGGGGATTTCGGTATACAATTGCTTGAGATTCGGAGCTATTGACAACGTACGGAAGTAAATGAAGTAAGCCGAGTGCTGCTCTTTCCGCTCTGCATTTATGGAATATGGATACTAAGTATTCAGTAACTAATTCTGTACATTAAACTATGCTATCAACTTTCAAAACGACAGTAACTGCACCACAATACTCGTTCGGCGTACGTAGCGCAGCACAATCACAGAGTCTTAGAGGATGGCTCGTAGGACATTTTCCCCTCCGATTCCCTCACCTTCTTGAGATCGCTCGCCGCCTTGGCAAAGGTAGAAACCGCTTCGTTCCGCAATCGTTTCATGGAGCCCTCCTGCGTCCACATATCTCGGTAGTTCTGCCGTGTGTCGGACTGCCCCGATGGTTTCTGGATGTCTTCACAGTGGTTGCCGTTGGGGTTGCTCTTGCCGCCAGCTGGTTTCGATGAATCGTTCGGTTTGTCGTCGTCTGAGTCGTTCGGTTTGTCCCTCTTTTCCTTCTGTGCCTGGAGTTGCTGTGACAAAAAGGACAGGGTGTGAAAGGTTTGGGCCTGGATTCTTGTCAGGTCCCCTATTTGGTCCTCGATCATATCCAATTGTTCTCGAAGTTCGATTGGCTCTTCATAATCAGCACTTGCGTTTTCTCCGCCAAATCCTAGTTTTTGCTTTTCGTCGTCCTCCAGATCACTAATGCCATCACAGATCACGGCAACAATGAGATTCACGACAATGAAGCCGGATATAATCACAAAGGCGATGATGAGAACGGGTGAATAAGAGTACCCTGCGTCCATCAGACCTCGATTAATATCGGCCCACCCATCCATCGTCATCATTTGAAATAAAGTCAAAGCAGTATCCTGCATAGTTCCAAAGTAATTATGCTGGAATTCGCCTATTTCTCCTGCATCTGCAAAAAGCTGGGTAAACATCACTGCGAAGATATACAAAATAAGGAAAAGCATCAATATAATTGCCGACATTCTAGGAACAACCGAGCCGAGAGCTGCAATTTGGGATCGTCAACGAACCATTTCATTGGATCGGGTCGGGTCGGGCCGGAATAGCACATTTTCGAAATTTGAAAAGGAACGCGCTGTTAGTTTGCATCGCATAGGACAGAAGAGAGTATGGCGAATATTGCGAATAATGCAAACATAAAAAATCATATATTTATGCATAACTAGCAGTGAAAACAACATTACGAGACATTTCTCGTTTACTTACCAGTAAGGAGATCCCGCATAACCTTGACGCGCGTAATCAACCGAAAGGTTCGAAAGATGCGGAAGGCACGAAAGATTTGCAGTCCAGCGGTCTGATTTATGGTTATCCAACTTATCGAAATGATAACGAGATCAAAGGTAAGCCACGGGTCAAATATTAATCGAAATCCGAGATAGATAAATTGAAAGAACAGTTCGATGGTGAATATAATCAAAAATACAAGGTCACAGATTTCGAATGCTGTCCTCCTGGTATCGTTGTCTTTTATGTATGGGAAGGTCGCCCAACCCATCATGGCTGCATTGATGAAAATGAATATGATCATGGTCACCTGTACATATGGGTTATTCACCATCCTACCACATATCTTGCGGAATTTGTTTATTCCATCCCAGCAACTTTTTTCATCTTCAATGCTGACTTCTTCGACATCGCCTTCGGACTCTTTTTCCTCTTTAGTGCCGTTTCCGGGCTCGCCCTCGTCGCCGAAATTGCTGCTGCGAACGGGGGAGGTCGACGACCCATGGTCGTTACCTTCCGCGTTAATTTTGCCGTCTGCCCCTCCGCTCCATGGTTTATTCTCCGCTCCGACGGCTTTATTGTCGGCTATTTTGTCGAGGTATTCGGAGCGTTGCATGATCAGTTCCGTGGAAGTTTCTTCTTCGATCAGTATCATTTTACGATCGCAATCGAAACTCCCTCCTTTTGGAAGCGTTGCCTCTCCCTTTTTAAGCGTCATAAGGAGGTCTGTTGAAACTAAGGAAGAAACTAGATCTTCGTGTTCAGATGATGGTGATTCAGTCTTACAATTTGATTCCCGGCGATCTTCTGGCTGATGCATAGAAAGACGGTGCCTGGAATAAGAGAACTCCGTACAAGTTAATTTTCTCTGTGGGCTCAACAAGGTGCTCAAAGACTCAGACTTGGATGCTTGAAAAGAAACCAAATCAAACAAACGTCTCAGATGACACCAATTTTTCCCCTTTCTTGTTTCACCTCTGGTAGGTGCGAATACTAGTTGCGGTAATCTGTAATCTCAATGTAACCCAAGAACGAACAGTAATTTTTACGGTATTTGTTTCAATGCCTAAGTATTTGCTGCCGTATGGTCAGCAGTTAAGTACTCGTACGAAGTTCGTACAGAAATACGAAGTAAGAATACTCGTACATCGTTACCAGGATGATCAGAACTACGGTAGGAAATAAAACTTGTTTCATACTGAAGTAACGCAACTATCTTACAGTAACATAGGTACGAGTACAAGTACGTACTGTAAGAGACAGAGAAACATGTTGCTTCGCTCACTCATCCCTCTCTTCGGCTTTGCGACCAACACTGCATCGTTTAATGAAGGGGCTATTATAAAAAATGAACCAATGCAAACGTGTCGTTTCTGTTACTATTTTTCCCACCGTACGATTATTTTTTTAGCTGCCATGCATTGCCTATGGAATATGGTACTTCTAGAACTACTCGTTCCTTACTCGTCGGTTCGTTCGTGCCGTGCAGCACAGTCATATTCTTTCAGCATCAACAATAGGACGTTTACATGTACCAATACTAAGCCCTTCGAAACTGACTTAAAAGGCCGTATCGCTTTAGGGTGCGACTGCTACCAGGACTGTACGGTGCAGTAACGGTAGAGAAGGCATGCTACCAGGACTACACGGTCACAAAGGACGCCAACGCCCGCCATGAAAAAAAACACTGAAGCACCTCAGTACGAATAACGTACCATAGACCTAGTACGGTACGCTAGTAGAGGCAGTAGCAGTAACAGTAGCAGTATCAGTAGCAATAACTCAGCGATACGAAGCAGCGCACAGACATATCGTACGGTACGGCAGGTGTCCTCTTAAGCTAGCAACACAATAACACCAACGTTAGTCTGCAGCGCAACACTGAAACCATCAATAGAGCCCTTTTCAAGCTTGCTTATCTTCCATGAGCGAAGATTTGCGGCGCCAACAGCTAGAGAGCATTGATTTTCATTTACAGGTAGATACATTTCCTTCCTGGAAACAAAGGTCCAAAAGGACAACAGGTCACAGGTCACTTCACCAGCAGTCACTTGTGATCCGACACCAAGGCACGCAACGAGACGAATCGAAACGCACACTACTGAATCGAGACGCTTCGAGAACGAGAATAACCTCAACTTCTTATTGAAATTTGTTTCGCTTGGTCATCAATAACGTTTCAACTATGTCGTCGCAAGATCGCAGGAAGTTCAACCATGAGGATTCCAAGAATTATGTCAGTGGCTCCTACCAGAGCCTTGCCAACAGCGTGACCTCCGGCTTTGGCCTTAGAAGGCGCAGCAACGTGAGCAGAAGAGAACAGGGTGGTTCCGCTGACGAAGCCGAAAAGAAACAACAAGGAGATGGCCCCAACGGCATTCCGCGCGGCTTCCCGAAAGGATTGACACCGTTTTTCCACATCAACGACAACGAAGAACTCACTGAGCAGCCGATCGCCGGATATTACACTCCTCCCAGATCTCCTATGCCATCAGATGACCTGGAGGAACAAAACATTGACGTAAAACTTGACCTGCAACGAGAGAAAAGCTATAATTTAGTAACGGAACCAATGTCGGACTCCTTCAATCACTCCGGGCTTTCAGCTCTCTCTGTCGACTTCGGGGAAATGGAGGAAAAGAATGATCCAGAAGGACCGGAAGGCTATAAGAGCGTTGGACAAAACGAATTTTTCAGTAATCAGAGCGATCTCGACGGTGGATCTGAAACGGACGCCGATGCCATGGGCCGAGAAAAGTCGAAGGCTGTCACTTTATTGCAAAAGTTTCAAAAGAGCAGACGACAGGTTGGAAAGTTTATTAACAACGAGTACATTCAGCTGGGAATTATCTTTCTAATCGTGGTGAACGCTCTGCTGATGGGATTGGCTACTATGGAATGGGTCAAAGACAACCCCACAAACGCAAAGATTTTTGAAAGCATCGACGAGTGGTTCCTGTACATTTTTACCGTTGAAGTCTCGATGCAACTCTACTACTATGGACCCGCTCTTTTTCTTGACAAGTGGCTAGTTTTTGATTTTTCCGTGGTATTGATGTCATGGATATTTCAGGGAAAAGGACAGGCGTTGCGCGCCTTTCGTATCTTCAGAGCCTTTCGGTTGATTACACGAGTGAAGCCTCTCCGAGATTTGGTCTTGGCGCTGGGAGACGTGATGCCGCGTTTGGCTGCAATTTTCTTGTTGTTGGTAATTATATTTTACGTCTTTGCAGTGCTGTTCACGGAGCTATTTTCTGAAGTTTACATTGAAGGTGCGGATGGCACGGACTATTTTGGTTCGCTCGAAATGTCCTTGTTTACCTGTTTTCAAATGATGACAATGGAATGGGGACATATCTGCCGAGCAGTCATGGATGTACCGGGCACCTACTATCAGTATTCTTGGATTCTTTTCTTGACATTCGTCATGGTTGCCGGATTCATCGTGTTCAACTTGATTGTTGCCGTGGTGGTTGAAGCCGTTTCGGCAACAGAAGATACCATTCGGGCCCTTGATGGAATCGAAGATAATTCTCCTTCAGCCCAGCTTGATGAAGCACAGGAACGCATCGATTTGTTGCAAATGCATCTGGACGAGATGATGGGTCAACAACAACAAATCCAGTTTATGCTCGAGACAATGGCGGGAGAATTGCTTCACATGGAGACGGAACGAGTGAAGGCACAATACCGTGAAACTCAATTGAAGGAGGAAATAAATCGTCGAATACTACTACAAAACCAGCTGGAAGCTAGGAATCTCGGCAATCGAGCGAAATCGGAAGCTTCGATGCAAGGAAGTGGTGACGAGGGCTCCCGGGGCTCCATTTCAAAGAAAAAATCCATCAGGAACTGGACCGTCAAGCCCCCGGAACTGGACAAGTCTGCAAAGGACACGAGCATGAGGGAATCATATTCGTCCGGAGAGCTGTACAATCGCGGACGACAGAGCAACTCGGGAAGCAAAAGGAATAACAGGTTTTCTAACTGGACTATCGACCATACCATTGGTACTGGAAACTCCTCCAAGAGCTTGACGGACAGTTCCGAGCCATCGTCCCAATCTGGGGGGAGGATGCGAGACGGACGGACGCGACGACAGTATCAATCACAAAGGAATGCAAGGTTTGATCTTGACAAGGACAAATCTGCTATTAGCCTATCGGATCATGTCAGTCAATCCGATCGCGGAATTCGTTATGGATTGACGGACGCCCCCAGCAGCGCTCCTACTAGCCGCAGAAAACTAGACCTGGATCAGCGAGCGAAGAGCAAAAACTGGAAGTCAATGCTCGCCTTCCCAGCAGTTTGATTAGATATTTATATTTTAGAAGATTTGTACGAACGACTCAATCTTTTACAGTACGGTACATACTGCAAACAAACGCTGTGTTGGGCACCACGCCGTGCCACCACCCGTGTGCAACGATGCGGCATGGTTCCGGCGTCGGCCGGGACCTCTAGTATCCCGTGTCGCATTGCGGGTACGCGACCGCAACAACCATTAATTTGGTTTTCGCACGGGACACTGCGTGTAGATTTGAAAAGAATAGGTCTGCGAAACCTAATACTAGTACTACTACTAGACTAGTTGGTACGGTGCTACTGCAGTATGGTATCAAAAAAAGGCTCCTCGCCGTGCCTGTTCTTCTGAAAATAGTATTCCTAGGACTGATACTTCTACTAGAACTAGTAGCTCCTACTAGTATTCGAGCTGTTGCTACCAAGTGCAACTACAGTAAATATGTACTCATGTAGAACTACTACTATTGGTGGAAGCAGTAACTGCGACTACTACTACTACGTACCGGTACTACTACTACACCAAAAAACCTTCGAAGTGGGAAGTGGCTCACGAAATGGTTCACGGGGGACTGAACGAACGAATCAATCATTGATTAGCCCACGCCGATCGGCGTGCCACGGATTATCTTCGCGCCGGCCTGCCGTAAGGGTTCTGCCAATGCCGAGAACGAATGAATCGCACGTACGTACGTATGGTACAATACGAGTACGTACCATACGGTAGGCCACAATAGAACATGTGTTGCAATGTACTTCTACGAATGTATTGTACGCACTATTTAAGCCTCGTGGTACTAGGATCGATCTACGGAGCCAGACTGGCATGTACGCGAGATACTGTACTACCGTAGAATCTACGATGCCGGACCACCAAAAATCTCGAATCGTATTGCGGGATCGACGCGCGCTGATTTTGTCGGAAGCACCCAGTCAAACGACTCCAATCAACGTCGTCCTTGCGGAAAGTTGCACGACTGCTTTCCATCCCTGCGCTCAAATTTGTCGTTCCGCCTCGCCCGCACCCGGGGATTGGATTGCACTGTATTGTTGTATTGTATAGTTGCGTTACGTACTTGTACCCTAGTGTTTCCCGTACAATTATGTACGAGTGCCGCACCATGCGGGCATCATTGCCTCCTCTTCGATCAACTCAAAACTGCTGCGCAGCACCATCATTGCAATTCCTTTCTTCCGCCGTTGCTGCCAAAAAAAGAGTTCGGTTGTGTAGATTCGGTCCCGATAGGTCAAGAACCACCACTAGAGAGACGACAGACATTCAACAAAGACAAGACAAGACAAGACAAGACAAGGCATTGGCGCCGGTGAACTAGTCTAATTCGCACCCCATCCCATTGCACTTCTATCGCATTGCTATTGCATCTCACCACAAAAATGGCGGACGACGAAGAACCCCCCGCCCTCGGCGCCGCCCCTCCCGCGGCCGCCTTTTCGACGGGAGGACCCCCTCCCCCCGCGGCCTTTGCCCGCCCCCCCGCCGCAGCTCCGCCACCCGTTCCCGCCGCGGCCGCCAGCGACCTGAATTCCCGCTGGAAGCAGTACGAATCGGAAAAGGCGAGCGGAAGCACCAGGGACGCCCACGAGAACTACGACCTGTACGAGACCCCCGAGAAGCTCAAGCGGTCCTCCTCTACGTCGTCCTCGTCGTCGTCGGCCCGCAACTCCCTGGCAGGGTCCTCCCGGCAGCTCTACGGGGAAGCCACCGCCAACCCCTCCACCGCGTCCGAAGAGCCCCGCAGGGCCTATTCCTTCTCCAAGAGCAGCTCGTACGACACGAACGCCCTCATTGCCAAGTACGCCGGCGTTTCGGGGGTAGCGGGAGGCTCTCCCCCCCGCAGCAACAACAACAACAACAAGGCCCCCTCGTCTTCGGTCCTTCCGTCTACGGCGCGGGCCGAAGCCATGCAGGTCCTGAGCATGGCCGACAACCGGACGGCGACGGCGGATCCCAATCAGCCCTTTCAGGTCCGCCGCACCGAGTCGGGGGGCTTCCGGGCCTCGGCCTTTGATCCCTCCGTCGAGGAGCCCTCGACGTACCGCTTCCAGAGGTCCTCCAGCAACAGCCGCCGGACCCCTTCGGCCCTGAAGGGACTCGGAATGGGAAGCGGAAGTGCAAGTGCAAGCGGAGGCTCTGCCGGCAAGCCCGACTGGAAGTCCGCCCGGTACTCCTTCCGGGATCCGCAGTTCCGGGACGACGACTGCCTAGAGGAAGAGGACGAGATCGTCGGTCCGGCGGCGGAGGCCTTTGAGGACGAGGTGGAGGTCCGCCCCAAGGACTCCTTCCGCGGGGACTTTCCGGCCCGCACGTCGGCCTGGAGCTCGCGATACTCGGACGATCCCAAGCTCTCGAGCGTGCTGGATCGCTACGATCGCTCCCACTCGGGCTCCCACTCGGGCGAACACTCCGGCCAGAGAACGGGCGCCCGCGGCATGCTGGTGAGCACCGCTGCCAACGTCAGCGACAGCGTCCGAAACTTTGGAGACAGCGTGTCCAGCCGCATCAGCGAGGCGAGAGAGAACGCCAAGAACACGGGCTTTGGCAGCGGGAAGTTCTCCTTCAAGAAGAACCGAATCAAGAAGCAGCAGCAGCAGATGCAGATGCAGGGCCTCGTGGGAAGCCCCTCCCGGCCCGGGGCCACGGGATCCACCAACCTCCGCACCGTCTGGCAGGACGGAAGCGACGGTATCGGCTACCACGACGACGACGGAGACCAGGGCATCACGGGCGGCAGCGGAAAGCACAAGAGCTGGGAACAGGTCATGCGCGAGAAGAAGCGCCGCCGGGTGGTGGGCCTCTCGGTGCTCTGCGCCCTGGTGGCCGTGGTCATTGTCGGGGTGTCCGTCTCGCAGACCGCGTGGCGGTGGAAATACAAGAACCTCTGGGGCAACGGGAACACCCAGCTCGAGGTCACCTTCTACGCAACCTCCAACTCCCCCCTGGGATACGGAACCAGCGAGGAACAGCTGGCCGCCGACCTGGCCAACCTCCCCGGCGACGCCGACTTTGTGGCCCACCTCGGAAACCTCCAGGACGCCTCGGTCAACATGTGCCCGGCCTCGCGCATGCCGGAAATGGGGTCCCTCCTCCGCTCCAGGATGCCCGAGAACGTCCCCCTCTTTATCGTTCCCGGCGAGCACGACTGGATCCGCTGTCCGAACCAGCTCACGGCCCTGGCCCGGTGGATGGAGGTCTTTGCCACGTCGCCGCTGGAAGACCAGGCCGCCAGCGACGACGACTACACGGCCGAGCCGGCCATTGCCGCCCTCCAGGCCCTCGAATTCGACCGGCCCAAGACCTCTCCCGACATTTTCTCCAAGCTCCACCACGGCGTCCTCGTCTTTGGCCTCCACCTGGTCCAGGGCACCGTCACGGACGGGATGGGCATGCAGGAGCAGGTCGTCCGGGACGAGAAAATGTCCATTTTCGTCAAGGGAACCCTCTCCCGCCTGGAGGGACAGTACCGGGCCATCGTCATGCTCGGAAACGCCCGCCCCGGCCCCCGCCAGCAGGGCTTTTTCGATTCCATCTCCGAGCCGCTGGCGAACGCCAGGGTGCCCGTCGCCTACGTCCACGCGGGATCCTCCCTTTCGGGCAAGAGCGATCCGGGAGGCGTCGTCCACTACCCCTTTGGCAAAAAGAAGAAGCGCGGGGACGGCCTGAGCGGGATGGTGGCCATCCGGGCCCCCAGCGGTGGAAACCACGAGCCGCCCCTGAAGATCACGGTCGGCTTTGGCAAGCACCTCTTTGGGGTCGGCAGCGGCGACGACCAGTAGAGCCACAGGGAACCGGTGGGAACCCAGAAAACCCCATCGCGTCGCGTCCATAGCGTTCTATGCACACCGTTTGTCGCTGTGGTCCAACCACACCCCACGTTGCGGTCCTTGTTTGCATTCCCTTCCCTTGCTTTGCCTCGACTTGCCCTGTCCTGCTCCGATTCGATTCGACATGCCGTTAGGTGACGAATCCCGGGATGGTTTGGCGATTTGGAAGGATTGCATCGAGAGGGGGGAGCCTTTTTCATGAATAGTATCATATAGCACTAAGAACTTTAAACCACCATAGAATATCAGACGTGGCACGGTGCACCGCACCATTATTGTAAATCCCTTGTCAGGTAGTGCCGTAGCAGGTTTTCTCCGACTCGGCAACAACAAGGATTGATGGTATGATCGTTCCGAAGCGTGTCCCTCCGACAACTACGAACCGCTCGCAACCTGTGAAATGCTATGAGGATTCGTAGCGTGTCCTACGAGGAGAATGAAAGTGACTTTACTTCACTATTCACTCACTAACTACTCGTGAATAATCTCACAACGTATCTACTACTACTTGCGGAACAAGAGAAAGGGTGCCACCGGGCTGTATTTTGTATTTTTGATAAAATAATGAATACCATGGATACTACTTATTTTTTTGGTTTTGGTTTTGTAATAATTATATTGGTAAGAAAGCACTTTAAAAAAAAAACCCTGCCTCGAACCTAGCCTGGTAGGAACAAGCATCGGCACCTTCTTTTGGTCGGGCCGATCTCTTCTTGCACCGTGCTAGATGCCGACAAGGGGAAAAACCTCTCGAGAGTTTGCTCTTTCGGGACACACCGTGCACACAGTAACAATACACTCGGTTCAATCAACCCTTGCTGGGTGGATCGAAGTGGATCGCAGCAGACGCACGCGTTCGGTCTGTCTCGAGAGCAATAGACGAATAGATGTAGGTTTCCTGCTAGTAGTAGCGGAATAAACGAGAAACGAAAAAGTGAACAACGGAAAGGAATGGCGTGTTCCGGGCGATCAGAGGAAGGCAGCCACCAAAGCGGCAGCGGCCAGGCCTGCCAAGCCGCCGAGGCCCCTCGGCATTGCCAAGGCGCCGCTGCCGACACCGAGCTCGTCGGCCCCGAGGGACGCCGAGGCCCGGAGGAGCTGGAGGTCGGTTCCCACCACGGGCTGCTCGCCGTTCTCTTCTTCCTCTCCGTCCAGGGATGCCGATGCGCCGTCCTCCGACGCGCTGTCCTCCCCGTCCTCGGAGGAGGAGTTTTCTTCCGGGGCGACCTCCTGGTTGCGGCGGCGGAGGAGGGGCACGGGATCCTCTTCGGGGTCCTCTTCGGGGCCGTCCTCGGAGGGGATGCCATCCTCGGAGGGGCTGTCTTCCGATTCCGGGCCGTCCTCGGAGGGGCTGTCTTCGAATTCCGGGCCGTCCTCGGAGAGACTGGGCTCTTCCTCGGGTTCCTCGACCGGGTCCTCCGCGGGGGCGGGCGCGTTGCCCTGCTTGTTGCGTCGCTTCTTGCGCCTGTTCTTCTTCTTCTTGTTCTTTCTGCGCTTCTTCTTCTTGGTGGGCTCGAGCCCGCGGACGCCCTGCTCGTCGTCGCTGTCGTCGCTGTCGGCGGACTCCGACTCCACGCCGTCCTCGGAATCGGAAGAAGCCTCTAGCTTGCGAACGCGGAGGGACCCGAGGCCGCGTCCGCGAGCAGCGGGCTCATCTTCGGAGTCCAAGCTGTCCAGAGACTCAGATTCAGACTCCACACCATCCTCAGAATCAGAAGAGAGCTTGCGTCCACCACCAGCAGGCTCGTCCTCAGAGTCCAAGCTGTCCAGAGACTCAGATTCAGACTC